ACCACCACCACCACCACCACCACCACCACCAGGGCTGGAAATAGGGCTCAGTGGTAGAGCACCTGCTTTGCAAGCACAAGGCCTTGAGTTTAATCCCCAGTTCTGAAAATAAAATCACAACACACACACACACACACACACACACACACATACATGTGTGTTGCCTGGATTCTGATATAGAAAGATTGACCAAGACATTATCCCTAAGGACCAAGTCAGTAATGTTAAAACATTGTAACAGGGCTGGGAAGGTGGCTCAGTGGTAGAGTGCTTGCCTCACATACATGAGGCCCTGGGTTCGATTCCTCAGCACCACATAAACAGAAAAAGCTGGAAGTGGAGCTATGACTCAAGTCCCTGAAGAGCTCAGGGACCAAACCCAGGCCCAAAGTTCAAGCCCCATGACCGATAAAAACAAACAAGAAACCATTGTAACATCAAGAATGATCAAAACATACCAGGGGTCTAGAACAAAAAGATATTAAGTGATTTTTTAAAGCTAACTCTCCTGCCCTACTTTCCCCGTATAAATACCCCGATGTGACTCTGCTTGGCATAACCCTTTGCAGATGTGCCTACATTTAGCTGGAATATGACATGTCCTCTCCTTTACTAATAAAATGCACTGGGCTTTTACCTCAGCAGGTCCTGAAATTCTTTTTCTATGACAATGTCACAAACGTGGTACCCACATTGAAGTCTTCTTCCTCTGGGAACTTTTTTTTAGCTCACTTTGGTTCTGGTGGCTACTATGTGGCCCAGAGTTAACCAGAACTATGCAAAGGTGGTGGAATCTTGTTCAAGACAGAACCTAGTGTGGTGGCTCAATGCTGATATCTCAGCTATTCTGGAGGTGGAGATCAGTGGGATCATGGTTCAAGGTCAGCCAAGGCAAAAAAGTGAGTGAGATCCCCATCTCAACCTATAAGCCAGGTCTGATAAGATGGATCTGTCATTAGGCCAGCAGGAGGCACAGTCAGGAGAGTTGTGGTATGAGGCTGGCCCTGGGCAAACTGACTGAAAAAAAAGAAAACAACAAACCAAAGCAACAAAAGGGCTGGGAACATAACCCAAGTGGTAGAGCACCTGCCTACCCAGTGTTAGACCTGGAGTTCAAATTCCAGTACTGCCAAAAAAAAAAAAAAGTTCTTCAAGACAACCTGACCACCCCACCAGACTCCTTCACAAACTCAGAACCAGACTCCATCTCGAGCAGGAAACACGTTTATTATAGCTGAGAATTCCATCAGGACCACAGCCATTTTGGACTTGGGGTTCTGAGCATGCGTGTTGGAGGCCAGGGACGAGCCGTTGGTCGGAGCCAGCTACTCGGGGACAGTCAGCAGCATGTACACCTGAGGACAGAGGCAGAGGCCGAGGCTGCGCCCCACTCCCCACCCATCCTCCTTGCCTGCAGAGCCTGCTCTCCCAGGACTTCTCCTGACGGACCATCCTGTGCCCCAAAGAAGGAAGAGTCCAGAGCCGAGGGGAATGCATGTGAGCAGACCGTGGGGGCTCTTCCTGAGACAGAGTGGCTGGGTGACAGGGGATGAATGATCTGCAGTCAGGGCAGCACATAAGGCTGTGTGCACTGCTCACTTCCCGTGGTGTTATTTGGGCTAATGACAGTTGCAGTGGCACCCTGTGGTTGTCCAGTATGTAACGCACACAACAGTGCAAGGCAGCCTGGGGGTGAAGCCGGTGAACTGTGTGTCCTGAGATGGTGCTGCGCTTGGTTCAAGCTCTTGCTCTGCCCTGGCTCTGCTCCTTTTTGTCTTGCAGAGCTCTTAGGGGCCCCTACCTGTCCTGGGCAGCACCTGAGCTGCCAGCACCCGTGGCATCCATTTAGAGCAGCCCCAGCCTCTGAACTACCTGTAGGGGTGCCCTAAGCCCCATCTATGCCTGGGTCTTCCCTTCCCTCTATCCCCTGGGGCTGGATTTATAGGAATCCACAGGGTGGGTATATGCTGTGGTGGGGTTACTGATGCCAGAAGTGGGTTCAATGTGCAACTCGGGCTGTGCCTCTTCTTCTGTCCTAGAAAGCAGGCTTCTCATGTCTACTGAGGTTAGGATTGGCGATGGGAAGGGTGTCAAAGGTCTACCTTTGGGGTCCTAAAGCCCTTCTTTCATTCCCTCCCTCCCTCCCTCCCTGCCTTCTTCCCTTCCTCCCTCCCTCCTTCCCTCTTTTCCTCCTTTCCTTCCTTCCTCCCTTTCTTCCCTTCCTTCCCTCCTTCCTTCTTTCATTCCTTCCTTCCCTCCCTCCCCCTCTCCCTTCCTGCATTCCTTCCTTCCTGCTTCCCTTCCTTCTTTCTTTCCTCCCTCCCTCCCTCTTTCCTCCTCCCTCCTTCCTTCCCTTGATTCCTGCTTCCCTTCTTCTCTCCCTTCCTTCCTCTATCCCTCCTTCTCTTTCTCCCCTTCTCTTTCCTTCCCTTCCCCCTCCTTCCCTTTCCTTCTTTCTCCTCTTCCCTCCCTCTCTCCCTTTCCTTGCTTCAAAAGGGCCTCAGTGTGACCAGGCCAGCTTCAACTTGTCATCCTCCAGTCTCAGCCTAAGTGCTGGCATTATAGCTGGTGTGTCACCAGCCTGGCTAGCTGGGGATCTTTTGAAGATGGAAGATAAAGAAGGGTCTAAGCCTTGCTCTCGTGCCTTCACCCTGAGGGTCGTGTTCCCTCGGGAAAGGGAGGGAAGTGGAGAGGCAAGGCAGCTGTACAGGTGGAAAGGCCAGCGAGCCACCGGCAGCACTTCAGTGCTCTGACCTATGGTGATGGCTGCCCCCCTGCCCCCACCCCATCCCAGGGTTTTGCTGATGACCCAGGACTAGCCCTGGCTCCTCCATCGGGGCTACTTGCAGATCATAGGCAGCAGAGGCAACAGCCCTGTTTGGGGGATCAGGACATCTGAGTTCTAGGGTTTTGAGGTCAGAGGACCCATTTGTGGGTACCGGGAAGGTTTCTTCACCTCTGTGAACCTTAGTTCCCTTAGCTATAAAAATGGGCGAGGAAGACAACAGCACTGACGTCATGTGTGTAAGGCCCGGATGCTTCCCGTGAGCCCTGTGGTCGGGTTCCCTGAGAGATCCCTGCTGGCCCTTGGAACCCCAGTCTCCTCACCTGAAAGTGGGGTGCCGGCCCAGCACGGCTGTGAGGGGGAAGTAAGTGGGGGAGCAGAGGCCTCTGCCTCCCATGCCTGCTTTCCCTCCACAGGCACGGGACCCTCGCTCCCACCTCCTGGCACCTACCTGGGAGAACTCCATCTGGGCTTGACTAAAAGAGACTCCCTTGATGTGCGGCAGTGGGAGGCCACATTCTCTGAGCCATTCTGCAAAAGGGGGTGGGGGAGAGGAGCTCAGAGTCCTGGTGGGCAGGGCGATCTGCCAGGGCCAAGCCAGGGGAGTCTTGGTATTCCACTGCCCTGAACAGGAGGGGCCTGGGTAGGCTTCCCTCTCCCTGCAAGACTGCCCTGGCCACAAGCCAGCTTCTCACTATGGCCTCCCACCCTTCCCCAAGCCCTATGGAAGAATGTTCTCCATTATATTCAAGAACTGTGAGCACTTGCTGTCAGCAGCAGCAGTGGAGAGACTGTTCCACGGAGTGAATTTCCTTGCTGAAATACATTCTCCTTTAATGGTGAGAAGTGGCTGAAAAGTGCTCCTGTAAAAGGGTAAAATGGCCGAGTGCTGGTGGCTCATGCCTATAGTCCAAGGCTCAGGTCTGAAGATTGTGGTTCAAAGCCAACCCAGGAAGATGAATCTGAGAGATGCTTATCTCCGATTAATTAGAAAAAAATCTGGAACTAGAGGAATGGCTCAAGTGGTGGAGTGCCAGCCTTGAGCAAGAAAGCTGAGTACAGCTCATGCCTGTAACCCTAGAGCTACTCAGGAGGCTGAGATCTGAAGATTGTGGTTCAAAGCCAGCCCAGGCAAGAAAGTCTGTGAGACTCTTTTCTCCAATAAACCACCAAAAAGCTAGAACTGGAGCTGTGGCTCAAGTGGCTGAGAGCCAGCCTTGGGCAAAAAAGCTAAGGGACCCATGCCCCAAGTTCAAGCCACAATACTGGCACATACATTTGTTATCAAAATCTTGTTTTAAAGGACTAATTTTCATGTATTTGGTAGGTAAGTGTTTTGTGAATATTTCTTTGATCTAGTCATGGATAGAGGCAAATTTCTAAGGTTTATTTATTTATTTATTTATTTTTTGGTCCAGTCGTGGGGCCTGAACTCTGGGCCTGGGCTCTGTCCCTCAGCTCTTCAGTTCAAGGCTAGCGCTCTACCACTTGAGCCACAGCGCCACTTCCGGCTTTTTTCTTCTTGCTTATGTGGTGCTGAGGAATCGAACCCAGGGCCTCAAGCATGCAAGGCAAGCGCTCTACCACTGAGCCACCTTCCCAGCCCAATTTCTAAGGTTTTTAAGGTTACTTTCAGACTCTCTCTCTCTTTTTTTTTGTCAGTTGTCTGGCTAGAACTCTGGGCCTGGCCAATGTTCCTGAGCTCTTCTGCTCAAGGTGAGCACTCTAACACTTGAGCCACAGAGCCACTTCCAGGTTTCTGAGTGGTTGATTGGAGATGAAAGTCTCATGGACTTTCCTGTCCGGGTGGCTTTGAACCATGATCCTCGGATCTCAGCCTCCTGAGTAGCTAGGATTACTGGCATGAGCCACCAGCGCCCAGCTTCAGTCTCTTTTTTATAGTCCTTTTTTTGAGACATTTTGTTTCTACCAACATTTTAGCACTGTGTGTGTGTGTCTGTGTGTGTATGCGTGCATGAAAGAGAGAGAGAGAGAGAGACAGAGACAGACAGAGACAGAGACAGAGACAGAGACAGAGAGAGATTACTGGGGCTGGACTCCAAGCCTTGAGCTCTCACTTGGTTCTCCTCTCGTCTCCTCTTCTGCAGGTCCTGGGCTTGAACTCAGGGCCTGGGCACACTGTCCTTTAGCTCTTTTGCTCAAGGATGGTGCTTTACCACTTGAGCCGTACCTTCACTTCCAGCTCTGTGTATGTGTGTGTGTGTGTGTGTGTGAGAGAGAGAGAGAGAGAGAGAGAGAGAGAGAGACTCACTTCATTTTCCTAGGATCACTTCCCAAACTGCTGTGGCTTCCTCCCATCCTGGTCAGCCCCCAAGGAAGCCCAGAGTAAGAGGGGGAGGGGGCTTGCTATCTAGAGATGGGGTGATGCCTCTCAATATTCAGCCTTCTAATGTCTCTCAACCACACACACAGCTGCCCTGCTGGTGACCTCCACCTGAGCTGAGTATGAGCGGCCCACGTTGGGTGGTCATGTTTGTCATAGGCCCACCTGGGCACTCCATCAGCTCCTTTACCTGCAGGTGGGGCGAGGTAGGTGGAGGCCCCTCACCTGACGCTCCTTGCCTTGGCATTCTGCACAACGCTAACTTGCACCTCTCTCGAGCCCTTTCCTGCCCCCTTGCAGTCATGCCCCAGGTTTCCTGCTGGAGGCTTCCTCCACCCTGGCAGAGGGCAGCTATGTGTAGAGACTCTGAGGGCCTGGTGGGGCACTGCTCTGAGCTAGGGGCCAAGAGGCCAGGATGAGGGGAGGCGGCTCACTGTTGTGCTGGGGCAGGAAGCTCCTCTTCAGCAAGGTCAAGAGCAAGCCCTTCAGGCTTTCTTCCTGCATGGGAGGGAGAAAGAAGGTCACTTCTTCTGGGCAGGCTGAGTCAGACTGTGGCAGTGGAGGAGCACAGTGCCCACAGGGGCCAATGACAGGGAAGGCCACTTTGAAAGGCTACCAGAACCAACTGCTCAGATTAGCAAAGGGAAAAACTAGGGGGCCTGAGATAGAATCACCATGGCCCAGGTGGCATCTAGTGCTGAGAGCTGCCAATTGGAGGGCAGGCACATGAAGGTAGCAAGCCTGGAGTAATCAGGGTGTGTGGGGGTGGGGGGGGCAGGCAGGCCTTGACTGGGATCGTTCCTCACCCTTGATTTGGACAGATTGCTGTTCTTGCCCATCTTCTGGGCACTGTCCCTGAGGTGGGTGGCTTGTATGGTGTGTGGCTGAGATGGAGGAAGGTCTCAGGTAACAGGGAGGGTAAAGTTTGGTAGTGCTGGGCTGGGGGTGTGGCTCACTGATGGAGTGCTTGCCTAGCATGCATGATGCCCTGGGCTCCATAGCCTCCCACCACCCCGGCACTTCTTGGTTCATAGTCTGCTTCACCCACTTCTGCCTTAACTAGTGCCACTCAGTACCTGCCCTACAGCCTACTTTCTTTTCCTTTTCCTATGTCTGACCCTCACCCTGTGAGCACAGGAGGTCCCCAAAGGCTGAAACTTTGTGCCTTGTTCTCTCTGTCCCATGTCTAGGCAAAGTACATGCTACTTAAGATTTAGCTACATCATTGGCCTGAGCCCTTCTGGACACATTGGAGACCAAAGCTGAGAGACTCACCTGCTCCTTGAGGCCAGCCGGGTAAGCTCCCAGGGTGACCTTGGCCCTGCCAGAGGACAGAGGTCATATATAAATCAGGACAGCAGTTTGGGGGCGGGGGGCAGGGGCTCAGGGAGCTGCAGGTCAGAGCCCTAACCCTCCCTCCCACCTAACAGCTGTCCAGCCTGAGGACAGCCCCCATGGAATCTGCTCTCCCTTCCCCCTCCCCTTTACTTTTTCTGAACATCCCAAATCAAAACCCATCATCACCTGTGTGGATTAAACTGGAGCTCCAGCTTCTGATCTTTGGAGGAAAATACAGCTTTTGAAAGGAGTTGCTGTGAGGGGTTGAAATGCACTCAGAGCTGGGCTGGAGAGGCCCTGACTTTCAGTCCTCATAAGCAGGTGCTCAGCGCTGGCCCCTCTACTCCAACTCCGTGGTGGCTGCTGCTTCACCATGTGCAGACCAGGCCTTGCCATGGGAGGGGGCATTGGGGCCTAGCAGCTGAGAAGCCTGGGCACGAGAGCAGTCATTGCCTTTGGCAAGCCACTTGGTGCTGGGATCATGACTGCCAGCCATAGAACCCCTTGCGCTCTCTCTCTCTCTCTCTCTCTCTGGGGCTTGAACTCAGGGCCTGGGTACTGTTTCTTAGCTTTTTGACTCAAGGCTGGGACTCCACCACTTGAGCCACAGCTCTACTCTAGTTTTTTATTTTTTGGTGGTTAATTGGAGGTAAGAGTCTCATGGACTTTCCTGCCTGGGTTGGCTTCAAACTGTGATCCTCAGATCTCAATCTCCTGAGTGGCTAGGATTGGTAGCCTCTCAGCCACTAGTGCCCAGCTATAAATATTATTTGGATCATAATAGTGATAATAAGTATTATTATTATTGTTGTTATTATTGTCATTAATGGAGCTTGAACTCAGGGCCTGGGTGCTGTCCCTGAGCTCTTTTGCTCAATGCTCGCTCTCTATACTTTGAGCCACAGCTCCACTTCCTGAATTTTGAGGTGTCCCAGGGCATACAGTACACAGCCCTAGGCACCAACAGCAATAGCATGAGGTCTTCAGGTGAGACACTGTGGCTGCTGGGGAGTCGTTGGGGGACCCCCAGGGTTTTTCGGGTGTCTCAACAGGTTAGCAGATGGCACAAAGGTGACACTGCCCCTCCCCCGTGCTCATCCCCAGTCAGGCCCAGAGGGACGTCCCAGCAGGAGGGCCCTTTGACCCCTGTGGAACAGAGGCCTCCCAGTGTCACTCACCCAGGAAACTGAGTTGGAGGAGGTGGCGTTGGGCCCCAGCAGAAGCAGTGAGCCCTGTTGGGTCACGGTGGCCCTGCGGCCATCAAGGTGGACTGCAGGTGGATCCTGGGTACGGATGACCAGGTCCAAGTTCTCTGTGGACTGATTAGAAGCCTGCTTGCGGTGGAAGAAGAGGAGGGGAAGAGATGGGCGGTGGCTTCCCCTCAGCCCCCATGAGGAGGGCAGCTGCGTCTCCTTCCAGCTCGCAGCCACTCCCTATGTGACTGCGGGGAGGATGCTTACCCTCCCTGAACTGCTTCAAAGAGAGACCCTAGGCTCCTTGTCCTGGGCACGTGTGGGAGGTAAGAACGTAGGTGTTTGGAACTAAGTCCCAGCTCTACCACTTGCAAGTTGTATGGCCTGCAATAAGTTTCTTAACCTCTCTATGCCTTAATTTCCCCTGGTTTACAGGGATAAGAAGTGCAACTACCCCCAGAAGGTTTTATGAAGATAAAGTGAGTCAACAGCACTTAGGAACAAACCCAGCACCCAGAGATGCTATATACATATTAACTGGTATACTATTGTCATTGTCCAGCAGTGTTGTATTCTAAGAGCCATTGGAGCAGGCATTGAGCTCTGACTTTGGAGTCAGGTCCTGGGTTCAAATCCTGACACTTCCCGTCACTTAATGTGAGCTTGGGTAAACCATGTCATTCGGTTGAGCCTTAGAGCTCACCCTATGAAAAGGGGTGACAGTGCTGGTTATGGGAGGGGGCCGGCGGCACACCTGCCCTGCCCTGCCCCCTGTTGGCTAGGTATGCCTTGGCAGGTGAGGGTCTTGTTCAATGGTGAGCCACGGTCACGGTGACAGTCATGGGCAGCATGCTCAGTGCCTTAGGTGCTTCACCACGCTGCCACTCGGATGCAGCGGTTTCCGCAATCCACAGAAGGAAAGCGGAGCACAGCCGTGGGCCCTCCCCCACCCTCCCAGGCTGAGCTGATGGGCTCCGGGTTGGGAAAGGGGCTGGCTTCACACTCACCTTGAGCCCAGGCTCCCTGACTGACAGCAGCTTCATGAGGTTGGCAGCCTGGAAGAAGGGGAGATACGTGTTAGCCTTGAGAGGCCTCGGGTGTATTTTGGGCAGGTGGGGTGGGACACAGGAGTGGAACTGTCTCCCATCATCATGATTTGTGTGCAAAGGTTAATTTAATGATAATGACAATCATGGTTTAATGATGATGATGATCGTTGTTATTAAATTATCATCATTATTGAATAATGATAATGATGATCACCTGATGGCCATCTCCCACTATTTTAGTGCAAAAATGGAATAAGAGAATGGTTACATGTTCATCACCTAGATTCTTTTATGAATAATTTCCCCTGTTTATTTTATTGAATTTGTTTTGTTGATAGTGGGGCTTGAACTCAGGGTCCTGGGTGCTGTCCCTGAGCTTCTTTTGCTCAAGACTAGTGCTCTACCACTTGAGCCACAGTGCCACCTTTGGCTTTTTCTGAGTTTATTGGAGATAGGAGTCTCATGGATTTTCGTGCCTGGGCTGGCTTTGAACCACAATCCTTAGATCTCAGTCTCCTGAGTAGTTAGGATTACAGGTATAATTTTTTTCATCTACTTGTGATCTGTGGATTAATTTTGTTTTTGGTGCTGGGCTGGAACCCAGGGCCTCCCACATGCTAAGCTCAGGCTTTACACCACTGAGCTCTCCCTCAGCTCCATTCCATTGGTTTTGTGCATGGGTGTGTGCGCCGTGCTGGTTCCAGGGCTTGAATTCAGGGCCTTGTACCTTTGCTTGTAGACAGCTGGTATTCTACAACTTGAGCTATGCTTCCACTCTGTCATTTACTGGTTAATTGGAGACAGAGCCTCATTGACTTTTGTGTCTGGGATGGCTTTGATCCACCATTCTGCAGATCTCAGCCTCCCAAGTTGGACTACAGATGTGAGCCACCTGTGCCAAACTTCATTGAGTTTTTTCTGGTACTGGAGCTTGGACTCAGTGCCTGGGTGCTGTCCTTGAGCTTTTTTGTTCAAGGCTGGCACTATACCACTTGAGCCACAGCTCCACTTCTGGCTTTTAAAATAGTTTATTGGAAATAAGAGTCACACAGCTGCCTTCACTTTCAGCTTTTTTGGTAGTTAACTGGAGATAAGAGTCTCGCTGACTTTCCTTCATGGTCTAGTCTTTGAACCTTGATATTCAGATCTCAGCCTCCTAATTAGCTAGGATTATAGACATGACCTACAGGTTCTCATTGAGTTTTGAAAAGCACAAATAATTACAGAAAATTATGAAGTAAAAAGCAAAGTCCACCTTGAAAGGATCCATCACATCCATCCCAGGGGACCACACGGAGGCAGGCAGGCACAGGAGAAAGATTAGTACAAGGTTTATTAGAGGAGCCATATTTGCCCCAGAGAGAGAGAAAGTACATGGCGACCTTCACTATCTAGGTAGCAGCAGGGTTTGAGGGTAGGAAATGAGGTAGATGGGAGTTCAGGTGGGTCTGGGTGGAGAGAGGGAGGGGCCAACAGTTTTGGGTGGAGCTGAGGACCAAAGGTGGGCCCAGTGCTTACACACCTCATGTCTCTCTTTTTTTTTTTTTTAATAGCCAGGTACTGATGGATCACACCTGTTATCCTACTCAGGAGGCTGGGATTTGAGAATTGCCCAAGCAGGAAAGTCAGTGAGACTCTTATCTCCAATCAACTACCAGAGAACGGGAAGTGGTGCTGTGGCTCAAAGTGGCAGAATGCTAGCCTTGAGCACAAAGGCTCAGGGACAGTGCCCAGGCTCTAAATTCAACAACCAACAACAACAAAGGGAGGGGTATTGGAGATGTAGCTCAATGGTGGAACATTTGCCTAGCATGCCTAAAGCTCTGGGTTTGCTCCCCAGCAAAACAAAACAAAACAAACTAGCTAGTGCCAATGGCTAACACCTGTAACCCTAGCTACTCAGGAGGCTGAGATCTGGAGGATCATGGTTCAAAGCCAGTCTAGGCAGGAAAAAAAACCCCATAAAACCCATTAAGATATCCATAAAATAACCAGTAAAAACAGGGTTGCAGGTATGACTCATATGGTAGAGCAGCGACCAAGCTAGTGCCAGACTCTGAATTCAAACTCTAGCAGGACAAATATAAATACATAAGTAAAGGAAGGAAGAAACAAGCAAGCAAGCAAGCAGAGGGGGGATGAGGGTTATAGAGAGGGCTGGAGGGGAGGGGGAGGGGCTAATGTGGGTCTAGTGAGAAAAAGCACCTGCTGGGCCTTGGCTTTCCTGCTGTGACAAGCAGAAGCAGGAGGGCTGTGTGTGTGTGTGTGTGTGTGTGTGTGTGTGCGCGCGCGCGCGCGCGCGTGTGTGTGTGTGTGTGTGTTGGGGGGGCTCTCCCCCTGCCCCCCAAGCACTCACTATTTCATTCAGAGAGTCTACGGGGGCCACGTGGGTCCGGGTGCAGAGGCAGCGCAGGAGGTTATTATAGACTTCCAGCCCGAACACCAGGTCTGCCATGCTGCCCTGGGAGAGTTGTGGGAGCGACACGGACGGAGCAGGTTCAGCCTGTGGAGCTGGCTGGTCTGGGCCACAGGGTGTCACCAGCTTCAGAGAAATGAGGGAAGAGGTGATGGTCACTATAGCCAGGACTCATCACGCCCTGGGCCTGGGCTGAGCGCCATGGATGCCACCTCCTAGCAGCACGCCGAGATGCGAGCCAGCACCGTCACCCCTGGACAGGGGAGGACACCGAGGCCCAGGGAGACAGAGCCACTCACTCAGGATCCCACTGGTGGTAAGTGGGATTGAACTTGCCTCCTACCATCCCCACCCCCTGTCCTTCCACAGAATGGCAGGGAGCATGGACAGACCTCCGTCTCCCTATCTGGAAGCTTCTTTTTTGTTGTTATTGTTAGATGGCCTAGCTGTTCCTGAGTGAACTGCCTTGTCCTCTTGTCCAGACTCTCCCTTGCTGGCCCAGGATGGACAGGCAGCTCAGCATGAAAGCTCTGGACCCAGGGGTCTCCCCATTCTCAGTCTTCCTTTGTCTGCCACCTCCTTGGCCTGCTCCTCCTCCTCCTGTCTCTAGATGCGCCATTTTGTTTTCTCCCTGCCTGTCCTCCTCCAGCCCAGCAGCCATCCCGGACTGTGCATAGCCAGCTCACCAGGACTCTCATCAGGATGGCCTCCTCTGTGAACTCTGTGCTGGTCACATAGTACTGGAAGTCGTTGGGGCCCTCAATGATGGGTGCTACAATGTAGAAATGAATTTGGGGTGCAGCCAGGGCAAAGGACAGCTGCGGAGTGCCTGTGATGAATTCCACTTCACAGACAGGGAAACTGAGGCTCAGAGGAGTCCCAAGCTATGTCACCCCTTTTCCTCCTTTATCAGAAAACAGGCTCCTTGTGGGCCAAGGTAGTCTTATTCCCCTGTCCTAATCCTGGACCCTGAAATGTCATCTGACATACAGCCGCGGCAGGGCAGACGAGCCCCCACCCCAGCTGCAGCAACAACATACGCAGAGAGATATGTAGCAGGTCTTCCAGCAGCAACTTGATCAGGGTTGTGACTGTGGGGCACACCTGGAGGAAGATAGGGTGTCCTGCTGGTGTCGGGGGAGCTTGAGCAGTTTTCTCTGGGGGTGGAGGGGTGCCATACCTCTTCCCAGGGCTGGGGGGGGGTGCGCAGCAAGGGCAGGCAGCTCACCAATTTCTGGAGAAGGTAGGGCAGGAACTTGTCCAGGACGTTGGACAGCAACTGCAGCAGTTTGTTCAGCAGCAGGGAGTCTGTCCTGGGGAGGGGCAATCGGTAGAGTCTGACACACCTTGCACCTCGCAGGCACAGGAGGGAGGGGCGCACACACGTGAGGTCTAGGTCAGAAAGCAGAGGAGGGGCAGGGCCAAGGAAAGCCTCCCCTGGGCCTGGTAAGGGAGATGCTGGGGGAGGGTGTCACTCACTCACTCGCTTGCTTGCTTCCTTCCTTCCCTTCCTCTCTCTCTTGTTTCTTTCTTTCCTTCCTTCCTTCCTTCCTTCCTTCCTTCCTTCCTTCCTTCCTTCCTTCCTTCCATCCTTCCTTTCCTTTCTTTCTTCCTTCCTTCCTTCTTTCCTTCTTCCCCTTTCTACTTCTTCTTTTCTTCCCTCTTTCCTTTCCCTATCCTGAACATTTCTTCCTGATTCTTTTGATAACTCTGCCTCTTCATTTCTCTTTGATAAAAGTTTTTAGGCCTTTAAATCAGGAAGAGACCTCACCAGCATGGAGAGCTTACAGAAGAGGTTCTATGCTAGGTGAATATAAGAATGGTTAACAGTGGTTCCTTTAGATGGCCTCTCTCTCTCTCTCTCTCACTCACACACACACACACACACACACACAGAAGTCAGCTCATTTCTTCCCTGTGCTATCCCAGGCCGCCTGGGTACTGAGTGCCATCTCATTTTACTGGTAAGGAAATGGAGGCACAAATGACCTGGCCAGGACCCCGTGGTAGAAGGTGGCCGAGCAGAGGCTGGGGTGTGGGTCAGTGATAGCTGCAGCATCACTTGCTCTGTGGAGCAGCATGCATGGTCTTCAGCCTTTGAGGAGCCCTGGTCAGTGTGGACGCCTGGGCTGGGCTGGGGCAAGGCCACCCCAGCGCCTGCCCTGAGCAGGTGGATGAGGGAGGCCCAGTGTCTGCCCTGACCAGTGGGGGTGGGGGTTCAGGTAACTCACTGTTGGAGAATCTCGATATCCAGGTATCCAGGGGGTACATGGCATTCCTCAAGGGCCACTTGGGTCTTGTTCCCTACCTGTTCTAGCCGTATCCCAATGCGGATGTTCTTGATGATTTTGAGCCACAGGATCCTGTGGGGGACAGAGGGGTCATGGGCTCCGAGCCAGGGCTCCCGCTTGATGCCAGAAGCCGCTGCTAGTGGCTGTTTCCTGCAGGGCTGGCATTCAAGGAAAGCTCATTAAACCATGGAATGAGAACGTGACAGCACTGGGCCACCATCCTACAGGGTGGCGAATGCTTGGGGCTAAGGCTGAGATAGGCAAGTGCTACAGGCCCCAGGAGGCCACATGTGAACTGTCACAATAACAGCAGAGAGCAGAGACATTTCTAGTTCAGGTCTCCATCAAAGACATAAGACATATGAGAAACTGAGGCCCAGGGTGGCCCAGCCCAGAAAGAGCCAGGATGCATGAGGAGCTCACCCAGCCCTGGCTCAGGCCATCCTGGCAGTGCCCAGGTACCCATCTGCCTGCTTGGCATGCCCTACCCAGTATAAGCAACAGAAGGTCGTATCCCAGCTTTGCTGTTCATTCATTGAGTGGTCGTGGGCTGGGCTCAATCCCATTCCATGCCTCAGCTTCCCCAGAAGTAAAATAGCTCAGAAACATGCCCAAGTGGAGAAGATTATTGTCATCCTTGTGGATTTGTTGTTGTTGTTGCTGGTTCTGGGGCTTGAACTCTGGGCCTGGGCACTGTCCCTGAGCTTTTGTACTACTACGTGAGCTACAGCTTCACTTCTGGCTTATTTGTGCTTAATTGGAGAAGAGTCATGGACTTTCTTGCCTGGGCTGGCTTTGAACCAGGATCCTCAGATCTCAGCCTCCTAAATAGCTAGGATTACGGGTGTGAGACCACTGGCACCGAGCATTCTCATGGATTTTGATGGCCTTGTTTGGCTGCTTCTGGTTGCTTGGCAGTGAGAAGCTGGGGTGTCTGGGACCCCAGGGCATGGCGCCTGACCCCCAGTGTACTTACTCCTGGAGTGACAGGTACAGTTTACAGCGCAAGGTGACCTGCAGCAGGCTGTCACTGAGGATGTCCAGGGTGATCTCAGGTCCTTGGGCATCTTCAATGACAAGCCTGGAAGAAGCATGGGGTGTTTTGGTGTGGCAGGAGATTCCAGGAGAGGAGGTAAGAATGGCTGTGGGACAGCATGGCCCCCAATCCAGCTGTGGATCGTTGGGCCAGTTTCCAAGCCTGGAAGACCCAGACAGTCCCTTCCCTTCTGTGTTCTCTGGGGTTGTCCTGTCTAAGACAGGAAATGGCAGAGGAGTGGTCTCCACATCTCAGGCATGTGAGTTCAAGGCCACACCGCTGCGGTTGAGAATGTGGCTCAATGGTAGAATGCTTGCGTGGCCAAGGCTCCAGCAAGCGCTGCAAAAAATAAGCAAAAAGACCAACACCAAAACCAAACACAGAAACTCCAGAAAGCCAACACAACCAAACAAAACCAAAACCCACAAAGAACACAAATAAGGAAGGGAGCAAGGTGGCTGGCAGTCCTTCTGCTTTCCTGGCAGGACCCGTGGGTTCTTTTTTTTTTTGTCGGTCGTGGGGCTTGAACTCTGGGCCTGGGCGCTGTCCCTCAGCTCTTCAGCTCAAGGCGAGCGCTCTACCACTTGAGCTACAGCACCACTTCCGATTTTCTGGTGGTTCATTGGAGATAGGAGTTTCACGGTCTCTTCTGCCTGGGCTGGCTTTGAACCGCGATCCTCAGATCTCAACCTCCTGAGTAGCTAGGATTACAGGCATGAGCCACCAGCACCCGGCCAGGACCCGTGGGTTCTGCTGAGCATCTAGAACCTTCTTCTGTGGTCTCAGCTCCTGCATCTCCCTGAGCTCCCAGGAACCGGGAGGTTGTACTTCGAGGTTGTTCAGTATAAGCTGGCCATTCATCTGGTGCAGGTGGCAAAACTCTTTTGTTGTTATTGTTGTTGTTGGTTGTGGGCTTGAACTCTGGGTCTGGGCACTGTCCCTGAGCTCTTCAGCTCAAGGCAAGTGCTCTACCACTTGAGCCACAGAACCGATTTTATGGTGGTTAATCAGAGGTAAGAGTCTCATGGACTTTCCTGCCTGTGCAGGCTTTGAACCACAATCCTCAGATCTCAGCCTCTTGAGTAGAGAGGATTACAGGCGTGAGCCACCAGCACCCAGCAAGGCATACACTCTTAATATGGAGGAAATCCTGTCCCCCAGCATGGAACTTTCAGGAAAGTTCCACCTCAGCAGGCTGGATGAAGTTCTAAGAATGACCAGGAGAGACTACATAGGGCTTCCTTTTGTCTTTCCAAACGACACCTTGGGCTGGAGTTGGCTTGCAGGAGGAGCTGGGACATGACTTCCTAGGCCTGAGTGCTTGTGATCAGTTTGAGGAGATGGCATGGCTGGGGCTCCCCTTAAGCTTCTCTGGGCAGCACCCCCTCAGCCCAGCAGCCTGACTTTTCATCCCCTTCAGTCTGCTGACATGGGTGGGACCGGGCTGTCCCTGCTCTAGCCCGGGATGGACCCCAGGCCATCTGTGGGCTGCACACAGGACCCTGCCCCATTTAATTCAATTCTCTAAACATATTTTTAGGAACATGATTCAAGTTAGCAAACCCAGGTGTAGCGGGGGAGGGGGGGTGCCGGGCTGACTGGAGAGGGGAGGAGAGCAGTAAGGAGACACTTGTGCACTTGAGGCCTTGGACATGCTCCGGAGACATTGGCTGTTTCATGGGATGGGAGGAGAACCAGGGCTCAAGGACACAACCGTCTCCTGAGGGAGAACAGAGTTTGGGGGGCGGCCTGGCTGGTCACTCACCCGCCAGCCTGGAGCAGCTCCTCCAGCACTGGGAACTTCCTCCCGGAGAGCAGATCACTGACCAGTGACAGGTCCAGTCCTCCTTTCTTGTTAGAGAGGTCGTCACTGACGAAGGGCAGGCGGTGCAGCACCGGCACGCCCTTGCCTGCGGCCCCCAGCACCGGCATCCTCACCAGGCCGCCCAGGACCTCATGCTTCTCTAACAGGTCTGAAATGTCTGAGGACACAAGCCTTCCTCAGTGTGGGCTGTTAGCCTTCATTCAGTCATTCAGCAAACACCCACTAATGCTGGCTCCCAGCGGGCAATTAAGACAGCCATTCAGCAAGAAGTCCTTAGTTATTATTATTACTATTACTTTGTTGGTTAGGGCCTGAGTATTGTCCCTGAGCTCTTTTACACGAGACTAGTACTCTACCACTTTGAGCCATAGCTCCACTTTTGGTTTTCTGGTAGTTAATTGGAGATAAAGAGTCTCATGGACTTTCCTGCCTGGGCTGGATTTGAACTGCGATCTTCAGATTTCAGCTTCCCAAGTAGCTAGGATTACAGGTGTGAACCCCTGGCACCTGGCCTTCGCTAATAATTTGAGAGCAACGTCTCAATCTCCTGCTTGACCACCTGCTAGAACCTGCTGAGTGCTTCTCTCTCCCTCCCTCTCTCCCTTCCCCCCCCCCTCTGGCTCACTCGCTCCCCTCCTCCTTCCCTCCCACTCTCTCTCTCACACACTGTTTTGTAGTAATGGGGTTTAAACTCATAGCCTCATACTTGTTAGGCAGGCCACACCTCCAGTCCTATGTGTGTTAGTTATTCATGCTTTATGCCTGTTTTGGCCTAGACTGCCATCCTTCTACTTGTGTTTCTGTCAATGGGATGACAGGCACCGGCCACTATGCTAAGCCATTGGCCGATATTTTTTGTTTGGGCTGGCCCCAAACCCTGATCCCCCATGCTCCACCTCCCAGGTAGTTCTTAAGTGCTTATTCTCTTGGGCTTGGGGAACTCAAGCAGTGTGGCTCCTAACCTCACAGTCCTCACAGCGTCTACCTTCTAGTCAGAAAGATAGCCTAGCGCTCAGGTCAGCGAGCAAAGCAATTTTTGGCAATGATCAGTGAATGTAAAATACAGCTGAGCCCCAGCACACCAGGTAAGGAGAGTCCGTTTTAGACAAGGAGTCAGGAAGGGTCTCTTTTAGAAGGCTTCTGAATGGAGAGCTGAAGGAAGTGAGAGAACCCATTCCTAAATGACCTGGTGGTGGGGAACCCTGTAGGCAGAGGCAGCAGTAGCACATGCAAAGGTCCTGAGGTGGTTATGGGCTTGGTGAGTTTTCAACATGGAAAGATAGTGTGGTGGATGACTCATAACCCTAAGTGAGGGAAAGCAGCAGACAGACAACCAGACAGGACAACAGGTACATTGTGCTTGGACGGGCCCTCTAGAATAGGCTTCACTAGAAGCTGTGGAAAGTCCTGTTGCCGGGGAAGGTCAGGGACTTCCGGATGAGGGACATTTGGACTTTGCCATCCCAGACAGGTTACACCACACTGAGGAGTCTGTTCTGCAGAAGGAGCAGCCTGAGCTGAGGAGCAAGCTGGGAAGTCTTTGGGGAGCGGGAGAGATGAAGAGCTAGGAGAAGGAAGAGATCAGAGATGCTGGCTTTGGGAGTCAGGAAAAAGACCTTGGAGGTGCTCCTGAGGACACCTCACAAATGTGTGTGTGTGTGTGTGTGTGTGTGTGCACGCGCACACACACGTGCATGCACATAGGCATGCGCTGGTCCAGGGGCTTGAACTCATAGTACTGTCCCTTAGCTTTTTCACTCAAGGCTGGTGCTCTACCACTTGAGCCACAACTCCACTTCTGGCTTTTGGTGGTGAAGTGGAGATGAGAGTCTCAGAGACTTTCTTGCCCGGGCTGGCTTTGAAGTTTGATCCTCAGATCTCAGCCTCCTGAGTAGCTAGGCTTCCAGGCTGAGCCACCAGCACCAGGTTCACATAATCAGGGAAAGAACAGGGTCAGCTGTGGGTGTGGGCAGATGAATTCTGTGGCTGGTGAGGCCCAGGTCGGAGGAGGCAAGGCCCTGAATGAGCGGGAGGCTGTGCTGTCTCTTCTGACCTTCTCCAGTTCCTGCTTCTTCCAGCTTGCCCTTTAGCTAGCATGTGCCTCTAACTCTTCAAGTAAACACACTGGATGGTTAAAAAAAATACACTGAGACATGACTCTAGGCATTCATACACAGTGAGACCAAAGGAGGGGACCCTTAGGAGAAGAATACAAAGGCATCATGCCTATGTGCATCTGATCAGACAAAAGAATATTTATCAAGCCAGGCACTGGTGGCTCATGCCTGTAATCCTTGCTACCCAGGAGGATCGTGGTTCAAAGTCAGTCCAGGCAGGTAAGTCCATGAGACTCATCTCCAATTAACTACCAGAAAACCAGAAGTGGTGCTGTGGCTCAAGTGGTAGAGTGCTCGCCTTGAGCTGAAGAGCTGAGGGACAGCACCCAGGTCGACCAAAAAAAAAAGAATATTTATCAAAATGATCTCCAGGAAATGGAAATGAGAGGTTGATTCTTCATTGCTGTTTTTGTTTTCTTCTCCTTTTGAATTGTTTGTTTACCTGTCTTTGGGAGGATGGGGGAGGCACAGAAATGGAGGGTCAAAGGGTAAACAAATGCAGCAGTGGTACTCACTGGACACTGTATTAAAAACGAGCTATACAACTTGTGGGTGGGGATGGGAGGGAAAAACTGGGAAAGAGCGAGGGAAGGGGAGACATTGTCCAAAAAGAAATGGACTCTTTACCGACTTATGTAACCGTAACCCCTCTGTACATCACCTTTATAATAACAATACAAAGTGCACGAAAGGAAAAAAAAGTCCCTTACTTGTCTGCAGCTTAGTGGTGCTGATCCTCAGGAAGAGGATACTGTGGGCTTCCCCCTGGGCTTGGGGCAGCAGTGCCCAGCATAGCAGCGGCCCCCACAACAGCAGCATCCTTTTGGTTAGGACTCAGGACCTGGGACACAGAGGTAAGAGCTTGGATAGCCATGTTCTCTGTTCAGCCCTGCCCGGTGCCCTATCTCAGCTTCCCTGTCTCTGCACCACATCTGGGTGCTTGTGTCTCTCTGGGCTGGCTGGAAGCTCCCTCCCTCCCCATCCTCTGGGCTCTGCCACTTCCGGTGTGGCTTTTCCCATCTGTGGGGCAGGGACCATCGCAGGGTGTGGCATGCAAAGGACTCATTACTAAGCAAGCCCATGTGGCTATCCTTGGGGTGGGGGGAATGTCAAAATAGCATGCATGGTAGCTGGGGTGGCAGGCCAATCCCCCTCTCGCCCCAAAGTAGGGGTCTTTCCCGAGTAGCAGGGAAGTATTTCAACCAGCCCCATCAGTACCGGCTCCTACCAGCAGACCCTCAACCCTGCCTGATGGCTGAAAAGGCACAGCTGGCCCCCTACGGGCTGCAGCAGGGGCTCTGGGCCTGCTGTAGAGTGAGGAAGGAATGTCCCAATTCCAGGACCTGGTGGCCTATGGGTCTACCCAATAAGGATCAAGGGCTGGGGAGCCACCTTGATGGAACAGTGCTTGCTTAGCTTGCTGGGGTTCAGGGTTCCATCTCCAGCCCACACAAAAAACAAGGGACTCCAACAGTGATTAAATTAGGAAATAAAAGACAACTTTGTGTCTTCATTTGCTTTTGCATATGCAAATTTGGGACTGTGTAATTTCTAATTTCTGGACTGTTCTTGCATTCCACCTCTAGTCCTACTCCTAGCCTAGGTTGGATTCTGCCCTATCATTATTATTATTACTAATTATTTATTTTGGCCAGTCCTGGGGCTCTAACTCAGGGCCTGGGCCCTGTCTCTGAACTTCTCTGTACTTAAAGCTAGCATTCTACCACTTGAGCCACAGTGCCACTTCCGGCTTTTTCTGTTTATGTGGTACTGATGAATAGAACCCAGGGCTTCATGCATGCTAGTCAAGCACTCTACCATTAAGCCACATTCCCAGCCCCTATTATTATTATTTTTTGAAAAAAAAAACAATCCTGACCCAAGTCAGGTCCCTCTCTGTGTCTTCCCTAGGCAATTCTTTTTTAATATTTTTTATTGTAAAGATACTGTACAGAGGGGTTACAGTTACATGAGTAAGGTAATGAGTACATTTCCTATTGAGCATTGTTACCCTCTCCTTTGTTTTTCCCCTACCATTCCTTCCCTCCCCACCTCCCCAACCCCTCTGTCTCTGCCCCCTGCCAGTTGTAAAGTTCATTTTCAACATCGTGTCTTGTACATCTCATTATTATAATGGGTCAACCTGTATCCTTATTTCAGCATTTTGTTATTTCCCTTCCCCTCTCCAAATTAGAAAAATGTATATACCAGATGCAGGGCACTGGAATCAAATACAGTGACAGCAGGGGTTATAACATGGGGGAAGAACATACAAAAGAAACAAAAAAATCACATAGTACATTAAAAACAACAGTGACAAAGAAAAAAACTCTGTGTCCCTATCTTAAGGTCCATTTCACCTCGTATCATCTTACATGGTCATATGTACATAGCTTTTGACCTTTGCTGCTTGTCTGGTAAGATTATGCCAGTCCTGAGGCCTGAACTCTGGGCCTATGCTCTAGGCAATTCTACCCTAGTTTGAAGTAGTTCCAAAGACCCTATTACATGTCACACACCCGATGTCCACATCATTAAGTCCTCCCTGCTGTGGGTTCCATGGCGTCTGAGCCCCACTTGGCAGATGAGGAAATTGAGCTCAGAAAGGCAAAGTGAAATAGTAAGTGATATAGTAAGTGGCAGCCCTGGGATTTGAACCTAGGATGGCTGATGCTAAGGATCTAGGCAAGCAGCCCCATATGTCATTGTGGCTGCTCAAAAAGTAGCCGAGAAATGCCCAAATGGGCCTCCTCGTCCTTACCTCTTCCTGAGCAGGGCTGTCCAAAACTTCTGCAGGCCTCTGTCTCAGTGGCCCAGAAGGACAACTTTTATACCAAGAGTTCTTTAGTACAGGGTGGCCACGGGGGCAGGAAGTCCACCCCCTTGCCAGGGTCTGCTCACCACGGGAGTCTTCAGAGGAAAGAGGCGGGGTCTCCTGGCACTGGATGGCCAGGGACATTGTGCCAGAACAGACAGGACCCAGTGTTGAGGCCTGGGGGCACTGGCTCTGGGTCCCTGGCCAGGACCCCAAGGAGGAAGTAGGCTGGGCCTGTGGCTTTAAGGGCAGGTCCCTTCTCCTTTGTACACCATAGCCATATTGCCTGGGGCCTCTGGGTGGAAGAGGAGGCTGGTAATACTGGGGTGGCAGTTGTGGGACCTCAAGGAGTGAGGGTGAGGGGATTGAGGTGGAGAAGAGCAAGGGAGAGGAGAGGGACTGACCACTCTTTCCATGCCCTGTGTTTGTTTGTTGGCTGGGATTGCAGGTGTAAACTACCATGACTAGCTGGTGAGGCAGTCTACTATCTCAGAGTCATGAAAGCCTGGATGTTTTGGGTTGGTTATAAGTTAAAGGTTGTGGGTTCATCTGACTTCTGCTGGCTGTGTCTTAACCATGTCGTATTTCTCTGTGTGGCTCAGAGAAAGGCTCTGGGTTGGAGTAGCCACCTGAATCCCTGGGCAGCAGACAGGATATGAGGGAGAGTGTGAAGCCTCCCTTGCCTTCTGAAATTTGGCCTCTAAATGAAGAGAGGGAAAGGTTTGGCTGGAGCTGTGTGGAGCATTCTGCTGCCTCACTGAGTAACAAGGGCACACATTTCCTGAGACACCAACTGCTGATGAGTGTCAGTTTGTTGATCTGTACAATGGGAATGATAATCACACAGGGAGCCTAGCGCCCTAGGCTGGGCATGGTCAATCCTCCTCAGTTGTCCCACTCTGGATGGACTGGAGGCTGGCTCAGGACCAGATAGGTGAGGCCTGGGTGCCCATCATATCCCAGGTCTCTTCTGGAGACCAAGGCCATCACGATTTCTGGGAGGGAGGATGACATACAGGATGAGACACCAATGATGATTCTCTGTGCTGTTGCTGCTGCACCTGAGAAGTGAGGGCTTTCTCCCCTTGTCCAGAAAGAAGGCAGAGATACTCCTGGTCCCCTAACCCCATCAGAAGTAGGCCAGTGTGGAAGAGAATTCCTCTCTTTGTGTGTGTGTGTGTGTGTGTGTGTTGGGGGTGACAGATGGATACTGCCTGGGGATGCTTGGCAGTGGTGTGAGTTGTTGAGCCTCAGTTTCTCTGTTGAGTGGGAGTGAGAGCAGAGCCTTGGGGAAATGGGATGAGGAGGGTCTGTCTGTCAGTCTGGAAGGACCTGCAAGCATTACCTGTGCAGAGCAAAAGGGTGTTGTGGCCTGTGGCAGACTGTGAGACAAGGCCTTGAGTGTGGATGATCTTGGGGCCTATCCTGGGAGACACTGGGGAAGAAGGGGAGGTGGGCTTGGAGGGCCATGGGGCTGCCTTGGTGGGGCCACTGGGGATCATGGTATTGCCTGAGCTCATTCATCTTGTCCCCAGTTCAGGGAATGAACCTCATGGAATGAGGTCCTGGAGAGCCATGGCCAGGGTCCCCATGTCCCTGCTTGGCTGGGGTGATGGGCTGCTGGCCTCCGAGCAGAAACAGAGACTCCTTCACTGAGACCACAAGGTGTCAGGACCAGACACCTGCCCTGTCCCCCAGACCCTGGGAACCCCTATCCCGCATGCTTGGAAGACCTCAGGCAGCCCGCAGAGACGGTCATGACAGGATAGAGACCGTGGGCTTCAAATCCTGGGTTCATAGGATGCGGAAAAAGAATTGGGCTCCATGTGTGGGGAGGGGGAATTCCGACCCAGTGGTCAGACCACCAGGGGAGACTGGAGGTGGGTTGCACAAGCCAGGGCCTCGGCGGCTGCTTAGCAGGTCAGCAGTGCCTGGAAAAGCACTTGGGACAGGCGCTCCCTGGCCGTTGGCCAGGCCTGTCTTCTAGGGGATTGGAGAGGCTCCTTCTCTGCCTCCTTCCTCTGCCGGCTGCCAGCTGTTCCCGCACCTGCTTGTGCTCTGAAGATAAGTAGGGCCTTTTCCAGAAATGACCACCCCCTCTCTTCCTGCAGGGGCCCTTCTGTTGGAGGGTGATGAGGGGGGCGGGGTGGGGGGGAGCCTGGGTCCTGAGAACAGGGGCCCATTGTCTGCTCCCCACCTCCTGGCCTCAGGGAGGCTAGGGAGACAATGCACTGTCTGAATGGGAAGGGCCTTTGGTGATAAGGCCAGAACCCCCAAGACAGCCAGGTGACAAGTGACCTGGCACTCCCCCCAGAGGGCACTCAGACGCTGGCTGCGGACCTGCGTTTCATCAGGACAGCCATCTCAGTGGAGCTATGACTGCCCACTTTACAGAGAAGGAAACTGAGGCTCCTGGAGGGCAAGCCATGCTGAAGGATGGGCCTTAGGTGACAGCCTCAAACTCAAGGCCTGGCTCACCTGCTTCCCAGGCCAGCCGGTCAGAGCTAACAGTGCGCCTCAGGACCTGCGCCCTGCCTACAGCTGGTCCTGATGCTGTGGCCTTCATGCCTGAAGCCCAGGGAGGCTTCAAGGGTGGGACCTGGCCCAGCCACACACAGCTCAGAGGTAGCTCATGTTGGCTCTGGTGCGCCCAAACACCACAGATTCAGAGGGCTCTGAGTCCAGTCCCCAAGCCTGCCATGGCAGCGCGACTCCCTTGTGGGACAAAGCCACACTCAGACAAGGCAGAACCACAGACAACTGTTTATTGACTACATGGAGGGATGGTCAGCCGAGCTGGCTCCTACGCTCCCTGCTGGGACCCAGATGACCCTGGGTGGCCAGCGTTCCGTCTTCACTGCGAGAGATGATCTTAGAGAAAGGTTGGGGTGAGCACAAGGGCGCCCTGGAACAGAAGAAGAGTCCTGCCTTGTTTTATGTTCATTTGTCCTCTACAAGGTGACCACTGCCACTGGTGGTCACTCAGGAAAAAATCTCAGAAGGGGCAGGGTGGAGGGTGGAACACAGGACGCCTGGTCTGTGGTATAGAAGCATCTGCTGCAGTGGACCGGGCGAGAAAGCCTGCTGCCCCCAAGCTCAGCCCACACCAAGAAGTTTTAGAAAAGTTTTATAAAACACAGATCTCCTAGCTGGGCACTGGTGGCTCATGCCTGTAATCCTAGCTACTCAGGAGACTGAGATCTGAGGATCACAGTTCAAAGCCAGCCTGGGCATGTAAGTCCATGAGACTCTTATCTCCAATGAATTACCAGAAAACCAGAAGTAGCTCTGTAGCTCAAGTGGTAGAGTGCTAGCCTTGAGCTGAGGAACTCAGGGACAGCACCCAAGCCGAGTTCAAGCCCTACCACCGGCAAAAATAAATAAATAAATAAAAAATACAGATTTCCTGGCTGCCCCCATGGGAGCAGGGGGCTGACATTTCAACAAGGTTCTGGGCTTTTCTTTTTTTTTTTTTTCTTGTCTTTTTTTTTTTATGAAAAGGTCACATGTGATTTATTACTGTTTTGAAGTTTCAATTCTTTTATCTTTGTTGGTTGTGGGGCTTAAACTCTGGGCCTGGGCACTGTTCTTCAGCTCTTCAGCACAAGGCTAGCACTCTACCACTTGAGCCACAGCGCCACTTCCAGTTTTCTAGTGGTTTATTCGAGATAAGAGTTTCATGGACTTTCCTGCAGCTGGCTTTGAATCACGATCCTCAGATCTCAGCCTCCAAAGTAGCTAGGATTACAGGAGTGAGGCACCGGCGCCCAGCTCATTTCAATTCTTAACACTGTGTATAATACTGATGTCTTACAAATACTTAAATTTGTTGTAGCCATTCTCAGGGGCCTTAATGACTTTGATTGTCCTTAAGGCTCATATCATGGCACTACTATTGCCAGCTTTTTCTAAATCTCTCTCTCTCTCTCTCTCTATATATATATGCATATATATATATATATATTTATGTTTAGGTAAGCAGACTCACTGGCTGGTTGGTTTCATTATTATGAGTGTTATCAACATCTGGCAAAGGCTGCTGAGTGTCAAAGGCTCACACCTGCCATTCCATCTTTTCAGGAAGTTGAGATCTGAGGATTGTGGTTTGAAGCCAGTCTAGGCAGGTAAATTGGTGGCTCTTATCTCCTATTAACCACCAAAAAGCTGGAAATGAAGCTGTGGTTCAAGTGGTAGAGCATTAGCCTTGAACAAAAAAGCTCAGTGTCCAGGACCTGAGTTCAAGCTTCAGGACCGACATAAGAAGGAAAAAAAAAAAGATTCAGCAAAGGAAAAGAACTGTGTAGTGAGGGCTGGGAAGGTGGCTCAGTGTGGCGTGCTTGCCTCGCATGCATAAGGCCCTGGATTTTATTCCTCAGCACCACATAAGCAGAAAAAGCCAGAAGTGGTGCTGTGGTTCAAGTGGTAGAGCACTAGCCTTGAACTGAAGAGCTGAGGGACAGTGCCCAGGCCCAGAGTTCAGGCCCCATGACCGACAAAAAAAAAAAAACAAAAAACTGTGTAGTGAATTCCTCTCTTCTCAACACCCAGATTCTGCCTCAGCTTTTCTCCTGCCCATACTGGCTACTGCTATAGTCTGTCCTTCATCACCCCCCCCCTTCCCAAACACTAGATATTATAAAGCTACAGAAAGGAGATCAAGTTGGGTACTGGTGGCTCATGCTTGTAATCCTAGCTTCTCAGGAGGCTGAGGTCTGAGGATCATGGCTCAAAGCCAGCCTGGACAGGAAAGACCCTGAGACTTAATTTCCAATTAACTACAAAGAGATGGAAGTGGAGCTGTGGCTCAAGTGGTAGAGTGCTGGCCTTGAACATAAAAGCTCAAGGATAGCACCCAGGCCCTGAGTTCAAGCCCTAGGACTGGCAAAAGAAAAAGAAAGAAAGAAAGGAAAAAAGAGAGAGGGGGAGGGAGGGAGGGAGGGAGGGAGGGAGAGGAGATTAGTGTACTGTTAGCTAAAATCAGACAAATAGAGAAAATTTGGAAATTGATTTGGAAATTGATCTGGAAAGAGATGCAGAAAGTAGATTTCAATCTGTGGCTTTCTCCAGGATGAAATAGCTCAGAAATGTGGTGTTCTGAGCAAATCAGGATCCAGAAGGGCTTCCGTGGTCCCAGGCTGACCTGGTCACAGAGGGTGGCAGGCAGGCGGGCAAGGTAGGAGAGGTGGGAGTGCAGCCTGAGATCTGTATATGCCTTGGAGGCTCAGATCTTGGAATAGTAAACAACCATGCCTCAGGGCCTTTGCACTTGATGCCCCTTTCTGGACACTTCTAGCTACCCGCAGGGCTTACTCCCCTGCCACCTCAGGTGTCAGCCAGATGTCAGCTCTTCATAGAAGCCTTCCCTGTCCACCCTTCTTCACCATCAGCCTCTCTTCTGAGCTTGCTTTACTTTCCTTGTCAGCCCTTAACTACTCCATGCTATACATTCATGGGCTTACATATCTGCTAGAATTTAGGCTCCAAAGAGTGTCTTCTGTTGTTCATTTCTGGGGTCTCAAGCACCTGGAGCCATGCTTGGCTCATGAGCCAAGCCTTCAGCAAAACCTTACTGAATGAAGAGCGTGAATGAATGATGGGGACCAGTGGGATGGAGCCTCCATTGCAGGTGAGAAGGGGAGAGACTTGGGACTTGCTCAAGGACTGGAACTCAGGGCACACGTTTCAGCCGAGGCAGGCTAACTGTTCAAGCCCACTCCCCCAACTCACCTGGAACACGGACCACGAGGCCATGTCGTATCCCAAGGTCTTCACTATTGGCATTGGGATCCCATGTCTTAATTTTCCTGAAATAGCAAATATGGTGAGAGATGGGAGGGCCTGGGGCGAGGAGGCTGGGCGGGAGTGGGCAGGCTCGCCCAGTGGCGCTGTGGCTCAAGTGGTAGAGCGCTAGTCTTGAGCTGAAGAGCTGAGGGACAGTGCCCAGGCCCAGAGTTCAAGCCCCACAACCAGACCCCCTTCCCCGCCCCCCCGCTGCAAAAAAAAAAAGTGCTGCTAAAGCTGGTACTGGTAGCTCAGGCCTATAATCCTAGCTACTCAGGAGGCTGAGGTCTGAGGATGGTGGTTTGAAACCAGCCTGGGCAGAAAAATCTCCATGAGACTCTTATCTCCAATTAACCACTCAAAATCTGGAAGTAGAACTGTGGCTCAAAGTGGTAGGGTGCTAGTCTTGAGCAAAAGAGCTCAGGGACAGTGCCCAGGTCCTGAGTTCAAGCCCCACAACTGACAAAAAAAGTGCTGTTGGCATAGATTCCCCCCTTCCCACCCCCTTGCACACGTAGCCTGTCATATGTCTGAAGGACTTAATTCTCCACATTTCAGATGGAGAAACTGAGGCTCAGGAGGAGAGGGCGGCTTGTCCAAGGCCAGGCAAGAGGGGCTGAGGCTGTGAACCAGTCTGCCTGAGACTCTTCTAGGGTCTGTTTGCACCTGGCCCTGCTTGGCTGGGGCCCCTGCTGCCCTACATGCTATAAGTGTGGAGCTGCGTGGGGAGGGCACTTCCTGATGGTGATGCTCCTGGGTGGGGGGGGAGGAAAGAATGATGAGCTGCAGGCAGAAGAGGCAGCCCAGGGGGCGGGACACTGGTACCCACCATTCTCATTGGACAGCAGCGTAGCGCTGAGGACCTTGGTGAGGACACTCTTCAGGACGTCCGTCTGTGTGGAAGAAGATCATTGTCTAGCTGAGTTCCAGGACCACCCAGCCATCATGGGCCTGGCCCAGAGCTACCAGGGGTCCTGGGGACCAGACACCTGGGAAGAGGCAGGGACTCAGGTGCCCTGGGAGGCACTCTGCAGGTCACCCCACTCTAAGGGGCTGCCCTCTGCTCCAACCCTCTGGTGTGCCTGCCCAGAGGGGATCTGCCCTGTGCCCCCCACCCCTGAGTTGCTCACACCCAAAAGAAGCCAGGGGTCCTGGTTTTGGAAACCATCTTGTTTTCCTATATGCATTTACCAAACCCCAGAAAGACCAAAGAAAACCTGGCTGAAGATGGCACTCAGGCTGGAGGCAATATCTAGTTCAGTCGGGGGGCTGGGGAAACTGAAGATCAGGGGTCGAGGCTGGCTGTTCAGGCTCACAGAGGAAGCCTCACATGAGCAAATGCATGGTGAATGGAGCCTTTGCCTTTTTATTATTTTTATTATTATTATTATGCCGGTCCTGGGGCTTGAGCTCAGGGCCTATGCGCCGTCCCTGAGCTCTTTTGCTCAAGGCTATTACTTTACCACTTTGAGACACAGCTCTACTTCCAGTTTTCTGGTGGTTAATTAGAGGGGATAAGAGTCTTATGGGGACATTTCAGCCTGGGCTGGCTTTGAACCTCGATCCTCAGCTCTCAGCCTCCTGAGTAGCTAGGATTACAGGCATAAGCCACTAGTGTCCGGTCTGCCTTTGCCTTTTTATAGGAGGCTGGACTTCGTGGGATTGAAGCAGATCTTGTCCTGTAGCTCTATGCCGAAGGGGCCATGCCAGCTGTGTCCCCCCTCCCCATGTTTGTTAACACTTACATTGAACAAGTTGATATCAGAGATCATCAAGTGTATCCGATTGCAACTGTAACAGAAGATGCCATGAGAATGGCCACTTGGAGTCCGGTCCTTTATCTGACCACTGTCGAGCACCTACTGTGTACCAGGCTCAGCACAAGCCCATGCCCTTGCCTCCTTGAGCTTACCTTGAAGTTGGGATAGTGGCTTACAGAACAGACAAGTCTTCCCTGGGAGCAATGACAGGTGAGCTAGAGAGTCAAGTCCCTGGCCCCTTTGAGCAATACTAGCGTTTGCACTCAGGGGTTTACACTTTACCTCTTAAGCCCGTTCCCAACACTTTTTGTTTTAGTTATTTTTTGTGTAGAGTCCTGCCTTTTTGCATGAAATAGCCTGGGACTGCAGTCTTCCTACCTATGCCTCCCATGTAGTTGGGATTCCAGCTGTGTGCTACCAGTGCCTGGTTTGTTTATGGAGATGGCTCTTAACTTTTTTTTTTTTTTTTGACCAGGCTAGCCTTCAACTTTGATCCTCCTGGTGTCTGCTCCTGTGTAGCTGAGATTATATATATGAGCCATCACATCTGTCTGAGCCAGACCCCTTCTAAGGGGGGTAGGAAGGGGGGAGCTTTGATGCACAGATCAATTTTTTTGTAGGAATATTAGCCCAGATTTTTAGGTTTACAAGTAATTTATATCTTAACTACAGACAACACTTCTGTGCTGGCATCTATGGGTCTGGTGTCTGGGGTTGCTGCTGTCTTGGAAGTATCTAGAATGGGCTGCCCAAAGCCCTAGCAATGGTAGTAAGTAGGCCGTTCCTGTGGCTGGAGTTGGCCTGCCCTGAGACTGCCATAGGCCCCGCCCCTTCCCTGTCTTGTGCATTCCTCACTGGTGGGACAGTCCAGGCAAGGCAGCCTTCTGCCCATCCTGGATCAACCCTTACCTGATGTCCACTTACTAGGTGTTTACCAAAACCCATACTCCCAGGCCAGCATTCTATTGCTTGGAGACTTGTACAGTGATTCACATGTTACCTGAGGTCATTAAAGTTGAGTATAAGTCGGTCATCTTCAGCATAAAACTGAGCTTCTGAACTGGCTTCCTGCAACAAGAGAAGCTGGGTTCCATTTCTTTGGAGAGAAGGCATTGGATGTGGGGTGAGGGTTGTGCAAAGAGATTCGGGGGTCAGGGATACCTGGGGTGACCTCATCTACTAGTTCTGTGATCTTGGGGACCATTTTGTCCTTTCTGGGCTTCACTTTCAGCTTTTCATAAGTGGATCCTACTCCTACTCGATTGAAACAAAGACATGCTGAGGGGCCGGTGCAGCCAGTGTTCATGGCCCAACTGCGGGTCCTGTCATCGCCCTACTGTCTGGGGAGGAAGGAGGGCAGGCCTGGCAGGCCTCTGCTGGACAGAAGCATGGTGGGTGTTACAGGAAGTCCAAAAGCGAAGCCAGGTGCCCCATGAATCCATGCATCAACCTGACTTCTGGGCAGTGTGCGCCAGGCTCCAGATCCTGGGGACAACTTGTACTACAGTGCCTCCCACTGGCCATGGAGGGGCCTTCCTGACAGTCCTTTCCCTGATGGCCAGAAACAGCCTAGCCTTTATGGAAGGAGGCCAAGGAAGAGGCCCTCCAAGGGGGCTCCACTGCACCTGCCACCTGAGAAAGGTATGCCGTGGAAATGTGCAGCGGGCAACCTGCACAGCTGTACACAGACAGCCAGCTGTAAGGCAGTAGCTACCTGAGCCTCCTACTCACCACCAGATCCTGCCCAGACTCTGTGGTAAATCCTGGATGGCTTACTTGGTGCCCTCTGAGTGTCCTGCCTCATCTCCAGTCAATTTTCACCCTTTGTAGTGGATGCTTAGTCCCCTTGGAGGTACTTTGTGTTGGGACCAACAGTTCACAGCCACCCTTCTCTGGGATGGAATGGTCCTGCCATGAGGGGTTTGTTTTCCTGCTCCTTGGGATCTCCTGGTGGCAGTGAACTGACTTATACTCCTACCCAGACCAATCAAGTTACCAGGTCCAAGTTGGGCCCCCAAAGCTCCAGACTCTCTGGGCCTCCCCTCTCCCCTGCGCAGGAGGCCCCAAGGTCGCTCCCAGGTCATAGGCCATGGAACTCACGATGCCTAGGGTGAAGAAGGGCCGGACGTCTTTGTTGCTGGCAAACACTTCCAGCGTGACCAGTTGGGCCATCTTGGCTCCAGTCTGGCTCAGAAAGATCTGGGGGCTGTTCTTCAAAACGATCTTCATGATCTGGGTAGGGCCCAGCAAACTTGCGGCCTAGAGAAAGACAAGGGACTGGGCATGCTCACTGTGGCCCTGAGCCTGGCTTCTTCTCTGAGGATCCTCCCTTGTGTATGTCACACACACACACACACACACACACACACACACAGTAGCCGTGGCCTCCCACCGCTCCCCGCTTTCTGTCTGGAGTACCCTCCCCTTCACAGATGTACCTCTCTGGCCACTGCACCAAGGGTAGGCTGCCAGGGAAGCCCTGCTCACCCCCAGCTCCTGTCCTCTGTCACCATGCTTGTAATAAAACACTGTGCTTGTGATGGTTCCCTTTGAATACCTCTGCTTGAAATTCCCAAGTGGCCAGGGACCTGTGCCAGCTCTGCACCCCCCCCACCCCCAGAGTCCTAGGTGCATAGCTCAGCTTGTGCCCAGTCCAGTGTGCCTTGGCCATCCATGCCCAGCCCTGTCTGTCCTGCCCTGTCCACATGCCCCACCCACACAGCCCCGCCCACACACCATACCCTGCTCTGCCCCACCCACACCAGCCCCCACCCACCCCTGGCCCACCCCATGTCCCGCCCAGCGCTGGGCGCTTGCCCACCGTTTTGTTGAAGGTCTCAATGCTCATCTTCAGCTCACGGGCCAGTTCAGGAAGCTGAGGGCGGGAAGAAGCCAGAGCTGGTCAGCTGGGCGGGACACTGACGGACTCTAGGGTCCAGGCTAGATGTGTCTTGGGTGGTGAAACGGCTCCTAGGACAGTCTTGTGGCCTGGGGCCCACAGTGGGCTTCTGCTGTCGGTGACGGGGAGGGGTCTGCAGCTACTCTGTTCCTGGAGAACATCTAGCAGGGACTGCAGTCAGGACTGTGGCTGCGCTGGTCACATCCCAGTCCCTGAGCCAGAGCTCAAATCCTCAAGGACCTAGCCCCTGAAGCGCTACCACCTCCAGTAACTTCCAGCCAGACTTTCCCTTTCACGACCTCCAGCTTGAAGGAAGGAGACTGATCGGCTAGTGATGTCTGCCTGGGGTGACAGTGTGGCAAGCAGAGGCTCACCATCCCACCTGGATCACTCACTCTGGAGCTAGGATAGAGGCCCTTGGCTCCCTGGGCTCTCTCATAAGGAAATGATAGGTTCTGCAGGACAGAACCAGGCTAGAGCTGGAGGTCACAGGGCTGTTTTCAGCTTGCCAGTGCAACATAGGTGCAGGGGCTTTTGGGGGAATAAGGGGCAGGTATGTCAATTGAGGAAGGCAGAGAGTTTCTGCCAGAGGCCTGGCAGCCTTGGGTTTCCTCCTGGATTCCCCCTGGATGCAGCCTCCATCCCACCATCCTCCATCTTTCCAGCCTCCACCCTCCATCCCTTGGTAAGGCTTACCACGAAGTCCAGCAGGAACATCAGCTCTTCTGGAAAGAGTATGGAAGCCACTACATCGCTCACCACGTCCTCCCTAATGATGAGGCTGAAAGGAGCTCTGCGCTGGGTGGGCAGTGCCAGGGAGGAATCAGAGTTATTGAACCACTTGGTCACCTTGGCCTTTGAGTCCAGCAACTTGGCCTGAGGAGACAGAGCAGGGTGTGGCTGGGGAAATATTACCTTTACCCAGCAACTCCCTAGCAGGGAGCCACAGCACAGAGGTATGACTGTATCCCCAGGAGCTCCTGTGATGAGTTGAGAGTCAGGACCTTCAGGAGGCAATTCACTGATGCTGAGTCGATGAAGATTGTTATAGCAGGAACAATGAGTTACTGCTGGAGTGGGTTTTAGGTGGCTGACACCTATAATCCTACTTAGGAAGCTGAGGTTGAGAGGATCACTGTTCTGCATGGGTGGGCATTTCTCTAGACTCTAAATAACCAGCAGAAAACACCTGTAGGCAGGGCCCGGCCGTCAGAGGGCTTGCTTAGCAGGCTCTCAACAGAGTTCAGGCCTCTGTCAACCTGCTTTTGCCCGTTCTTGTTCTTCCATATTCTACCATCGGGGGGGGGCAGCAAGAAAACTCTGTGCACTGGTAAGCATCTGTTGTTTGTATGCTATTCAGCCTCAGGTACTTTGGTGTAGTGGTACAACCTGTTTCCCCCCCCCCCTTTTTGCATTAATTGTCAGGAAGCTTAGCTTGGGATTCAGAACAACTCCACTTGAATCTCAGGTTGCACCTGCTGGCTTTTCTCTCTCCAGATGCATGGGGTAAGCTCAGCCCATGTATGCTCTGATTTTGGGGAGAGGGGGCACGATTCTCTGAACCGTGTCTGGATCTAGGAGGGTGGAGGAAAGCAATCATTCCTCCACTTTGTCTGGAGGTTCTGGGACACTCACCTGCAGGTTGAGCTGGATGTTACTGCCTGTGATGGCAGGAGACAGTAGGTCAAATCTCAGCAATCCAGGGCTGAGGAAAATGGGTGCTGTTGGGCGGGGGGGGGAGAAATGTCTATGAGGTGGGCAGCTAGTGCCGGGGGTGTGGTATTGGGGGGCAGGGAGGTTGGTGCTGATGGGATTGGTCTGGTGTGAATGTACCAAGCACCAGGCACTAAGCCTTTCACTCTGACTCTCTATTCATGAGCAAGGACCTGTCCAAGGTCTTAATGTGAAATTTGAACTATCCCACGTCAAAACTGGACTGTCATTTGTTACTGTCTCTCCCCCACTAAGCTGTCACCTGCTGCCCCAAGTAGGTAGGCATGGGCTTGAACACCCAGTTAGTGCACCACCTGTGTTGGCCTGGCAATTCCCCACTTGGCCACCAGGTGGCGATGGCCCCCATCTGCCTGTCAATGGATGAGCAGGGTGGGCTGGTTTAACCCTGACCCTGACTCTGGGAACAGAGCTAATAGAACTTGGCACAGGTTAGAGTCCCAGTGACCTTGGCTGGTCTCGTCCTGCCTCCAAATGCAATTCTTTCCCACACTCCACCTGCCTCTCTTTCTCTCTCTGTTTTCATTTTCTTTCTTTCTTTCTTTTTGTTGGTTGTGGGGCTTGAACTCTGGGCCTGGGCACTGTCCCTCAGCTCTTCAGCTCAAGGCCAGTGCTCTACCCCTTGAGCCACAGCGCCTCTTCTAGTTTTCTGAGTGGTTTGTTGGAGGTAAGAGTCTCACGGATATTCCTGCCCAGGCTGGCTTTGCATGGAGATTCTCAGATCTCAGCCTCCTGAGTAGCTGGGATTACAGGCGTGAGCCACCGGAGCGTGCTTCTCTGTTTTCTTTCTGTGTTAGATGCTTATGTATGCGGGACAAATGAGCTCCGCCCTCAGCCCCAGATTTCTTAGCTGAACACAGGTGTAATCGCCAGTCCTGGCCCAGGCTGAGCACCCTTGCTAGCAATGGCCAAATTGGAATCACAGCCCCTTGAACTGGAAGGAATGATTTCCCACCTTCCCAGCCATGAACTTCCTCTATGAGTTCAGACAAAGGACTTCACTGTTCTGAGCCCCAGCTGCCTTGTGTATGTGAGGCTGGACAGTGACCACGACACACGGACGGAGGAGTCAGTGAGATAGAGACCATATTGCCTCAGCCCAAGACCTTGGCCTCTGCACCCGCTCTGGGGCTTGGTGATCGTTCATCCACCTTCCTCTTCCACTCTCTGACTGCCCTTTGAGTGGCCTCTTCAGTGCCTCAATCAGCAAATGGTAGAATTTTCTCCTTCCCCGTCTGTTCCCATGCTAAAGGCACCAGGCATGGATGATTGACCAGGTAGGAGCAGAAGCTGGTGTCCTCCTGTCTCTGGTGACTTCCTTCCTGGACACAGGTCCCATCTCTGTCCTTTCCTCTCTTCTCTCATAGTGCACAGAGATTGCCCACCATGTCATCCACCCATCTATCCATCCATTCATCCATCCACCCATCCATCCATCCATCCATCCATCCATCCATCCATCCATCCATCCATCCATCCAGCCTCATGAGTAAACTTTCCTCAGCCTGGCAGGATACCTGCTATGTGTCTGGAACTTTCCCCTAAACTTTTAATCCTCTTTAACAACCCTTTGGGTCAGGAATGCATAAACCCCCTTTTACAACTGAGGAAACTGAGACTAGGAGGTGACCTTAACAGAGCAATGTAGCAACAGAGCTGCTGGCCTCATCTAAAACCTTGCATGAAGCCACAGTCATGGCGGCTGTCCTGTTCTGGGAAGGGATCAGCCCATGCTCATGCACCTGCTGCCGAGTTAGTTGCTTGGGCTTGAGTGGGGGCCTCCAGCTGGAGGCAGGGCCTGTAGGCCAGATACTGCAGTTAAGGAAAAGGGGTAAGGGTGTGTGCTGGGCTGGGGGTGGGGCAGTGCACTTACCCTTCACCAGCTTCAGGAAGTCTGCATACATGCCATCGAATGCTGTCTGGATCACAGGGCACAGCTGCAATGCACAAACCCAGGGCTCTATGAGTGATGTGTCAGCCCCAGCTTCACACCAACCTGTGCCTGGCCACCTCTGCCCAGGGCCAGCCGGGTGTCCCTCCATGGGGGCTGAGTATGTTCACTTTCCACCTAACCTCCCCTCCCCCCAGCCAGCACCACAGCTCCTAGTGCTGCTGAGGACCTTATGCAGGAGTTTGTTCCTTGCCCTATGCCTAGGGTGTGCCTGGCCTGCCAGCTGCCCTGGCCATCATGCCCCTTGTCTTGCTCACAGAGCCCATGTTTTCCATATAGGAAGCTGAGACCCCACCTCTTCATGCCATGAGTCTGCGGGAACAGGAGGCAAGCAGCCGGACCCCTCCCCCAGGCTCCGGACTGGCTGTTTGTGTCCTGGGTGAGAGTCTAGCCCCAGGATTCCTCCTGCCTCCTGGTCCCCAGCACTTCCTCTCCCCAGTATTGCTGCTGCATCTCAGCAGGGGAGAAATGTTTGGAGACATTTTTAGTTGTGACAACATGGGGGTGTGGAGCCTAGTAGAGAGAGGGCAGGGGTGCTGTTAAACACCCCATACCATGTTAGCAGTGCCTGGCAGAGAAACCCTGGCCTCACCCACTCTGAGGAGGAAGAGAGTGAACATTTGCCTTGCCTTTTCAGGGGGACCCTGAAAAAGCCTCATTCTCTCCTCCAAGGCAGTCTGCTGGTCCAGGGCCCAGTGCCCAGATTGTTGAGGTCATTGGGCTTTAGTGGGAGGATCTCCAGGGGACCATGATGCTCCTTAGCCACCATGATGCATTTCTAAGGAACTTTTTCTGCAAGGAAACAGTCCCTGCTCCTACCTGCTTTCCCAACCCAGAACCCAGGGAGGCTGCAGGATCAGGGACTCCCAGCATGCACTGCTGGGGGACCACCTACTCCCCCCTCCCCCTCCCACAACTCTCCATTCTTTATCTCTAACCTGACTCCCACAGGAGCTGCCCCCCCCCTCCGCCCCAGACACCCAGGTCCCACCAGCCCCTTTCCATCCGCCAGACAGAATGTTCAACGTGTTCTGAGGGGTCTCAGGGTTGACCCAATGCTTTCCACAGAAAAGAACATCTGCATTTTCCAATCGAGTTCCTGCCAGATGCCAGCTCCACCCTTACACTGTGCCCTGTGGTTCCCTTCCTGCCAAACAAAATATTCCTGTGACTATGAACCCAGTCCAGAGATCCATGACCAGACCATGATGACGGTGGAAGGCGTGGCCTCCATCCTCCCGCTGAACACAAACTATAAAGAGCTTGCCCTTTAAAAAATAACTGCAGTAGGACTTGGGGAGTTGGCGGGCCTAGAACCCACACCCAGATTGGAGAAAGACAGTGGCTTGCTGATGCTAGTTTGTTGAGCCCGTTTGTAGGGATAAATTTAGTAGACATTGAACACGCAGCGCTAACATTATTTTGCTGTATTTTACTATTATATCTGTTGGTGTGCCCGCACCATGGTGGCCTTCCTCCCTCTCAGCCCCTGCAGAGACAATCGTTGAGAATTATCAGGACATCACTGACCCAGGCCTTCCTGCTGGCTTTTGGCAGTTTCCTCGTTAGCTAGGCGGCAGGAATTAGCCCCAGTATCCCATCCCATCCTTTAGCATCTGCTTGTAGCTTCACTGCCACCCAGCAGGGGGCGCATACTCCACAGGCCAGAGGCTGGATTCCACTCACCTCCTCTTTCACCATCTGGGGCAGGGCTGGTACCAGGAGATTTATGACCTTGTCTGCTAAGGAGTTGACCAGGAAGGACAGCCTGTAGGAGAGGAGAATGGGGGAGACAGGCAGGGTCAGAGAAGATCACCCCACATCGGCTTTGCGGAGGTGGAAAGAACTTAACCAGGTCACACAAGCTGTTAGACCGTAAACAAGGGATAGATACACAGTGTTGGGGTTCTGGGGAGCAGGGGCTGGGTGAAGAGACTGTGTTTGCTGAACTCTTTGGTTTTTAAAATTTAAATCTGCTGTTATTATGAAGGTGATGTACAAAGGGGTGACAGTTACATAAGCCAGGTAAAGAGTCCATTTGCTTTTGGACATTGTTACCCTGAAGTCTTTGTTTTTACCTTGGTCCCCACCACCTGCCTGCCCAGGACCTCCTGAGGGTCGTTTGCACCTGCGAGGGCAAAGGCCGGAGGAGGGCGTGGCCGGACTCACTTGTTCAGCAGGCTGATGCGCAGGCTGCTCTGACTGCTGAGGCAGTCTCTGAGGACCAGGCGGTGGGGGCCGTCAGGGCTGCTCTGCACCCCGATGAAGGCTTGGACCTCGGTCTCCATGTGGAACCCCACGATGGTCTTCACCAGCGGCCTGCGGGCGGCGGCAGGGGCATCATCACGCCCAGGTCGGAGCCAACCCGCGGGGCACGCGTCCTCCTGCTCCTCCCCGCCTATCAGACTCCATCCGTCTCCCCTCAGCGCCCACGTGGCTTCCTCTCCCCATTTAACTCCTTTCCATACACTGACAGCTTCTGAACTTGACCCACTGCCTCCCCCAAGTCTCCAAACTTGGGGTTTTCATGGCCTTGCTTGCTGGTTTTTCTGGATAGGTGCAGGCACAAGCCTTAAAACTATCGTTGAATCTCTTCTCCCTCTCTCTGTCTCTCTGTCTCTGTCTCTGTCTCTCTCACACACACACAAACTCCAGTGATCCCTATCTGCTTCCAAAATACATCTAGACTCTAGTCACTTTTCTTCAAACTCTCAAGCCCTTGTAGCTAGGCCATCATCTTTCCCAAGCTGCACATCTTCAACCTTAAAGGCTTGATGGCCTCCCTGCCTCCACCATTGCTCCTGTCTAGTTGGTTTCCCCACAGCAACTAGTAGGATGCTTTGAAAAGGCTGATCCACATCCTGCTCTCCTCCCACTCAGACTCACACCTGACTTTGTAAAGGCCAGCACCTCACCTGGCCTGCAAGCCTGGTCCAAACTGGCCTTAGCTTGCTGACTTCCTCTCCTGTCACTCTAACTCCTCCCTACTTTTTGTCATTCTTTAAGCTTGGCAAGTGTACCCCTGCCCCAGGGCCTTTACACTTGCTCATCTCTCTGCTTAGGAACCCCACCACCACCCCCAGATACTTATATGGAGGGACGGGAGTGAGTGGATGCACCGCCAGACCCTCTGTGCCTGACTGGGAGGACTTACGTGTTGAATCCCGCCACCATATCCAGGGGGATCCTGACCACCAGTTCCTGGTCTTGGACAGTGGGCTGCACTTGCAGCTGGAGGATGCTCGCAGAGGTCACCCTCAGCCTGGGTGGGATTCGGGGAAGATGAGAATCAGACTCCAGGCTCAGCTGGTTCTCACTCTGTCCTTCCTGTCCCCCCGTAGGGGCCTGCTGCCCATTGACCCCCTTTGAGCGTGGCCCTGCCCCGTCCCTCCCCTCTACCCCTAGCTGACAAACTATGTTGGTTCCTTGGCTTTTATGGGGGTGAACTGAGCTCCTGGGCTGACTCTTGAGACCCTCCCTCTCCCAGGTGGGCCTCTCTGCCTGGAGTTCGTTTTCTTCCTCTCTGTTTGGCTGAGCCCTGGCCACCTTCCTCTGTGGCTTCCCTCCTAGGGCTCTGGTGTCTGTGGTCATCATCTGAGCTTCTCAGGGGAGGGGCTTAGTCCATCTGTTCTTCATGGTGATCAGTGACTGGTGTGTGCTGACTGACCACCAATCACACGCACTGGGCCTGGGCAGAGGGGTGGTCACATGGCGGAGGCCTGAGTCCATGCTACTCACCAGATGATGTGCTTCAGGACGGAGCTGACCAGGCTGCCCAGCAGGGGAATGCCCCCGCTGGGCTCCTCCCTCATGGCGCTCAGCAGGGGCAGCTTATGGAGGATGGTTGTGGCACCCTGGTCCTTCAGTTGCTCAGTCAGCACTGGATGCAGATCCAGGAATTAGGGGCCAGGGGGAAGGCAGGGAGGATGGCCTGGTGTGTGTGTGTGTGTGTGTGTGTGTGTGTGTGTGTGTGTGTGTGTAGGGCAATGTCGCAGGCCACAGACCCCTCGGAGAGTTTGGGGGCTTAGGGAATTTAGAAGGGGTTGTGGCATTGTGGGCTCTAAGGTTGTCTCCTCCTGTCCCACCCAAGTCCCCCAGCATCAGTGTGTCTCCGTCTCTCTGAAGGATGCGTGATGGTGGTGATACCTGGGGCCCAGGCTTACTCTCATTGATGACTTCTGGGCCCAGGGTGAGCACCGCAGGCGGGGCAGAGGTGACTGGGACCAATTTGGCTCCCAGAAAGGCACCGAGGCAGGTGAAGACCCACAGGCTGGTCATCTTCTGGGTGCTGGTGAGCAGCTGATGGCCGGTGGCAGAGCCTAGATGAACACAGAGGGTTTGGCTAGCGGGGCGTGGAGACTCAGGGCAGGCCTACCACGCCTGCTGCCTGGGCATGGCATCCGGCAGGGGTCATTTCATGCAGGGCCCGGGGGCAGGACCTGGTGCTGTGGTCCCAGACCCCAAGCTTAGCCTCTCTGTGCCTCCATGTTCTCTGACTGCTGGGAAGAGTAATTACTATCATGTCATAGACTGATGGTGACAGGGAGTTGGAATCTAGAAAGCATTTAGCATGGTGCCTTTTACGTATACCTCTGCACTAGACTTGAAAAGCCTCTCCTGCCAGGCCTGTAATCCTGGCTACTCGGGAGCTGAGATCGGAGGAGTAAGGTTCAAATCCACCCCAGGCAGGAAAATCCATGAGACTCATCTCCAATTAACCATCAAAAAGCTAGAGATGTGGCTGAAATGGTAGAGTGCCAGTCTTGAGTGATAAAGCTATGGGACAGTGCCCAGGGCCTGAGTAGTACCTCAAGCAAACAAAACAAAAACATCTCCTTTCCAGCCTCAGACCCTTTCTCCCTCTTTGTCCCTTTCTGCTCTAGCCAATCCCAGCTGTCTGAACAATTCTGTTTTCTCCCAAGTCCAGGCCTTTGCCTGGGCCCTCCCCGTTTCCTCCTTCCTGCAGTGCTGTGGAGCTCCTATCTGGCCTTCAGAACCCCACCCACATTTTCACATCCTCTAAAGCTACCTGTCTCCTGCAGCCAGCCCTGGGAGCTCACTTGGAGGCATGTTGCCCTGGGCCTTGGGCAGGAAGGTTGGAATTAGGGGAGGTAGAATTTCAGTGAGAATCAACAGTGTGGATTGTTCACCTGATCTGCAATAGTCAGGGGTCTGGGGAGGGAACAGTGGCTTTGGAACCAGGGCATAGAGAATGAGAGAGGGGGAGGGAGAGGGAGAGAGAAGATTATGATAAGGAAGGAAGAGGAGGAGGAAGAGGAGGGGGAGGAGGAGGAGGAGGAAGAGGAGGAGGAGGAAGACCAAAGAAGAGGGGAGGGGAGAGGAAGGGAGGAGAGGGGATTGAAGGAGAGGGGGTCCTGGCCTTCCATGTTCTGGGCCCCCCCTGTCTATTCCTGAGCTATCCAGCTTATACCCGCTCTGCCTTCAACCCCCACAGAGAGCTTCTGCCCCAGGGAAGGGAAGGAAGACCCTGACCCAGACACGGGAGCCCTCGCCTGTTGGTTTCTTGTCATCAAGGCTACAAATGCCTCGTGTCATTCTGGTTTCCAGACAAGCCTGTGCCTCAGGGTCTCTAACCATCCCTCAAACCTGGGCCTGGCCCACCTGCAACAGGGCATCCACCTCCTGTCCTCTGGCACCCGACGCTTTCCTTCCTCCTTGCCCAGCATCTTCTATTCAGCTTTTGTTTTTTTAATTTAAATGCTTTCATCACTGACATATTACTCTCTTCCTCTTCTTCCTCCTCCTTCCTCCTTATCATTGTCTCCTCTCTCCCTCTCCCTCCCCCTCTCTCATATTACTGTTCTTGTTTGTGTATGTGGTATCAAGGAATCGAACCCAGGGCCCTATGCATGCTAGTCAAGCACTCTACCACAAAGCCACATTCCCAGCCCCTTCTACTCAGCTTTGCAGCCTCTAGGTCACCTCCTCGGAGAAGCTGCCTCTAACTGCCCTTCCCCTTCCAGTCCTGAGCCTTCTTCAACACAGCAAGCGCACATGGAGCCCTCCCCCCCCCCCCCCCGCCCCAGGACTTTGTTAAGCACCCCTGCCTTTTGCAGTCTGTGTCCGCAGAGTGAGCTGAGGATCCTGGGATAAGTCTAGAAAAACCCAGCCGCCCCCATCCTCATCACCGCTCTTCCAGGTGAGGAAGGGGCTGACACTGAGAGATTCCAGCTACCCAAGGGCCGTGACTGGGGCTGAGCCCTGGCTGGGCCTTCCTGCCAGCCCATGTTCTAGGCACTCCCCCCCCCAACCTCTGCTTTTACCTGGACACCCTGGAGCCCCGGGCCCACTTGACTCCCCTCCTGGCCAATGGGTCTGCAGCCTGAGCCTTATATCCTGTGCACCCTAGCCTGGCAGGCGTTGTGTGGATGGGGGCTGAGGCCTGAGGCCGGGCCTAGGTCTCCAAGGTAAATATTTGCAGCTGTTGGTGATCCAGAGCCCTTCCGGGAGGCAGTGAGCCGCTAGCTTCCTGAGGCTTAGAGAAAGGAGGGTCCAGGCTGGCACAAGAGGGGGGAGGCACTCGGGCATCATGGCAGGGAGCTGGCCGGGGCAGAAATCATGCCAGGTTTGCATTTAGAGCGTTGGTGCGGTCTCATTCCCATTCAGGGTCAGTCCTTCTGTCTGTACCGAGAGGGACCACCCTCCACAGTGAGTCAAGGGTCCAGCCAGTATCTGGAGCAGAAATCTGACTGCAAAACCCCTATGGGGCCATCTCCCCAGCTTGAAGGACACAGAGGTGGCCCAGGACAAACCGAGTTCAAGTCCTGGCTCCACCGTGCTCACATGTGTGACTCTGGGCTTGGAGTATAAGCTCCCTGAGCCTCAGCGTTCCCACCTGTGAAATGGCTGCATTGCTGGCCTTTCTCCTACAGGGTGAGTGGAGTACCTTGCATGCAGAAGGTGGTTCAGTAGCTGGGCATGGCTCTGCTGTTGTCATGGTTACTGCTGGTGGTGGGACAAGCCTTGGGGAGAGGCCACATTAACCTTTTTTTTTTTTGTTTTCTTTTTTCTTGGTCATGGGGCTCCAACATAGGGCTTGGGTGCTGTCCTTGTTTGTGTGTGTGTGTGTGTGTGTGTGTGTGTGTGTGTGTTACTCAAGGCTAGCACTCTACCACTTTGAGCCACAGCTCCACTGCTGGTTTTCTGGCGATTAATTGGAGATCAGAGACTCTGGACTTTCCTGCCTGGGCCTGTGAACTGTGATCTTCAGATCTCAGCCTCCTAAGTAGCTAGGATTACAGGTGTGAGCCACCAGTACTTGGCCCTTTTTTTTTTTTTTTGCCAGTGCTGGGGCTTGAACTCAGGGCCTGGGCACTGTCCCTCAGCTTCTTCTGCTCAAGGCTAGCACTCTACCACTTGAGCCACAGCGCCACTTTCAACTTCTATTTATGTGGTACTGAGGAATTGAACCCAGGGCTTCAGACATGCTTGAGCACTCTACCACTAAGCCATATTCACAGCCCCTGGCCCTTACTTTTTAGTTGTTAACTTGGGACAAAGAAGGCATGGCCTTCCTCACCCCCTTTTCCTCCACTCACCTCCATTAGTTAATTCCCTTTACAGAACTGGTTTGAATTTCCTTTCTGCCACTTTGCTGTGTATCTCTGGGCCAGGGGCTTTGCCTCTCTGAGCCCCAGGCCCTCACGGGGCACGCCTTCCATTCCCTCATTACATGGCGCCATGCCACCATTGGCCTCTCTACCTGGTCCCCCCAGGACGGATGTCATGGGTATTTGTAGGGTGAAAGAGTAACGAACCTGATCGTGAGCCCAGCCTCAGCCCCCACCGCTGCCTTGGCACAGGCCCTGGCTCAGCCACACACGCAGCCCGGCTTTACCAGGCATCTGATGCTCAGGTCAAGGACAGCAACAGGTCAAGGTCATGGGGTATGGGGGGAGAGGGCTTGAGCCCCGGCTAGTGCAGGGCACTCACCTGTCAATCTCCAGGGACCCCCAGGTTAGCGCTGGGGCTGGCAGGGACCCAAACCCTGTGCGACTTCAGTCTGCCAGCCAAGAACTGTGCTTTAGGGCTGGGGTAGCCACTGGGGAGTCCTGTCCCCAGTGCAGGGCACAGGGGAGGGGCGGCTAGAGCCCGAAGGTCACACGGGCCCCAGCCTCCTCTTCCTGGTGTGGTGGTCGAGGCGGGGCACAGGGAAGGGTGCTGAGCACCCCGCCATGTCTGCAGCTGCCTCAGCCCCTGAGGGAGATGATCGGAGCCAGATGGACTCTGGGAAGGACCCTGCCAGTGGCCAGCACCCTGGGCACACGTCCTGAGAGGCACACGCCCCCACCAGGCTTCCCTGCCCGCCATGCCCGCTGCCCATGTACAATGCCTCTCTGTGGAGTGCCAGAGCCTGTGCCAGGGCCCGCGTCAGCCCCTGTGTCCTGCCTGACCCCTTCCCGAGCCCTCCCCCAAGCTCACTGAGGACAGAAGAGGCCAGAGGAGGCCCCTGTGTCCGAAGACGCAGCTTAGGCATCCCTCTGAGGCCCTGTCCCCCCCTGAGATGCAGGACCAGCAGAGAACTGCTACCACGCTGAATAATTCCTTCCTCTCCCTCCCTCCTTCCCCCTCTCCCTCCTTTCTCCTCCCTCCTTCTTCCCTCCCTCCCTGTATTCCTTTCTCTTTGTTTCTTTTTGTGCCAGCCCGGAGGCTTGAACTGAGGGCCTGGACACTGTCCCTGAGCTTTTGTGCTCCAGGCTAGTGCTCTCCCACTTGAGCCACAGCTCCACTTAACCACCACACAATCAGACAAAGAGGTGTGGCTCAAGGTGTGGCAAAAATGCCAAATAACACGAGGCCTTAAGTTCAAGTCCCAGTTCCAGCTGCACACACACACACACACACACACACACACACACACACACACACACACAAAATTATCCAGATTATGCCTCTCTCCAGCTTATTAAAACCCTTCACTGCTCCTGTATGAAGTTAGCTGTACAAGACCCGGTCTGGCCAGCTGCTTTCATTCCCACCTCAGGGCCTTTGCACATGCTGAGCTGTCTTCTTCCCCCACACTGGCTGCTTCTCACTTGCCTAGTCTCAGCTTCAGGTCCTTTCTTGGCCTTTCCTGACCTGACTATAGCAGCTCCCTTCACAGCACAGCTATGGCATCCTGCTAGCTTGAGCTGGAAGCGGCCTGAAAACTCATGTGTATTCTGGGCGCAGGACTCTGCAGAAGCTGGCCACCAGGACACAGCCTGGCCGGTCGGTGTAGGCAAGGGGTCAAGACCAGATGCACAGTGTGGGTCCCTTTAGCAGGACAGGGCGGCAGGGGTGGGGGGAGGAGAGGAGACGCTGATCCAGCTGGAGATGATAAGGGGGTTGGAGGGGAAGGAAGATCTATAAATGCATTTTTGAGCTAGGGTTTCACTTTGTAGCCCATGCTGACCTTAAAGTCACACTCCTTCTGCCTCAACCTTCCTAGTGCTGGGATTACAGGCGTGAGCCGCCATGCCCAGGCAGCGTGGGGGTTCTGCCTGCCCGGTGAGGAGTGCAGCGCAGAAAATTCCATGTGGAAGTTGGAGAATGCTTCCATGAGCCAATGCGGCTCAGCCTAGAGCACAGAGAGTTTCCTGGCCCCCAGAGAGCTGGGAAACTCCCCTGCTCCCTTCCTCCTCCTGCCTAGGATGGAGAGGGAGAAGCAGGGGAGGGAGAGGGAGGAGGATGGAGGGGTATCCAGAGAGAGGTGAGGGAGCCCATGCTGTGCCAGGAAGCCAGGTAGGGGTGCAGACAGTGTCATTGTGAGGTCAAAGCGGGGGGACAGAGCGGAGCCACCCCATTTTGTAGATCACCGAACTGCATCCCAGAGAGGAGGAAGTAGGAGGATCATCACTCCTCCCCCCTCTTCCCAGATGAGTTGGGGTCCTGGAGAGGGCAGAGACTTCCTGGAGCAGGGGTCAGAACGTGACTTCCAGGTAGGCTCTGCTTCTCTGCACAGCCTCTCCTGGGAAGATGATAGCCACACGGGGCATGAGGAGGGCGGGGCTGGGCATGGGCCACCTTTTCCTGCTGAGAAGAAAAGAGGGAGAATTCAAGCCACCTCTCAGCAGGCTCAAGACCTCATGGCATCATGGTTTTCCTTGGTACCAAACGTGCTGCACGACACAGCAGGAACATTTTATGCTTGGACCGCTTCCAATCCTCTGGCAATGGCTGTTGAAGCCCTCAAGAATCTGGGGCTCAGCAGGAGACAGTATGGGATTGATTAGCAATGTCTGCTCTGAGCAGCATAGGTGCCTCACCCCCCTACCTCCCTTCTCCCTCCTTGTTAAAGATGGAGTCTTCCCTTCTAAAACCTTAAAAGGGCAACGAACTAAGAGAAGAGTAGGGGGACACAGAGTTTTCCACTGCCTTATTCTCTGGCCTCTGTTTTCCTAATCATAAAATAGGGATGGAGGATTCCCTCATGCTGAAGTCAAGCTGGCTGGAAGGGATTGGCTTATTGTGGAGAGAGCTCAGCCAATGTGCAGCGAGGTTAGCTCTTCCCCACGTCAACGCGCTCTTCAGAGGCTCAGCTGCATCCACTTCACATGCATGGGCTCTGCCCAGGACCGGCAGACGGCTGCTAGAACATTCTCTGCAGCTTTACTTCTGATGATCCCAAAGCACAGCCCGCAGCAGGGGATTTCCTCAATAAATCCTGGGTCCTACCTGTCATCCTAGCTACTCAGGAGGGTGACATCTTGAGGATCATGGCCTAGCCAGGAAAAGTCCATGAGACTCTTTTTTTTTTTTTGCCTGAGCTTGAACTCAGGGCCTGGGCACTGTCTCTGAGCTTCTTTTGCTTAAGGCTAGCCCTCTACCACTTGAGCCACAGTGCCACTTCTGGCCTTTTCTGTTTGTGTGGAACTGAGGAATCAAACCTAGGACTTCATGCATGTTAGGCAAGTACTCTACCACTAAGATACATTCCCAGCCCACCTTCTTGGAGTTTTTAAAAATTAAAAAATCTTACATCAAACAGCTTCTTCTTCTTCTTCTTTTTTTTTTTTTGGTTGGCCAACAACCTCAGTTCCTGCTTGAGAGGGAACACACAGAGGCCAGGCAGGTGGAGGCCAGGAGAGTGGAGGCTGCTCCATGCAGCCTTTAGCCTTCCCCTCCACCCCCACCCCCATTTCAGGGAAACACTGGGGTGACTTTGCTGATAACAGTCACAAAAGCACAGTTACGTCAGCATCCCGGAACAGCTGGGAAAGAAGTAAAGAAATGGGTTCTGGAATGTCCCAGACATAATCCTTCTTTTGTGGGACAGGAATAGATTAAATTCAGAGCAAACAAACTGTAGCTAAGTGTGTGGGGACTGAGCAGCAGTGCAGGCAGGGGCCAGGGCTGCCCTTACCACCTGCGACCAGGAGGCCAGCGGGGTGCTCAGGAGCCTGGACAGAGTGACACCTGTCTGTCTCCACAAGCTCTGACCAAGTAGGAGGCAGGCTAGCATGGCGATGGACGCCAACCCCAGTTGGGGACCACAGACGAGCATGTCAGATGGTAGTGCAGAGGCCAGCACCCCAATGGGGGTCAACACCAAGGTGGGGGGAGGTCTGCACTTGCTCTGGGTGGGCCTCTGGCCAGATTTAGGGGAGCAGGCTGGTTCAGAAAAGGCTCCATGGAGAGGTGACATTGCCCTGGGTTCCAGGGAGGGCCGTGGAGACCAGGGGTGACTAGAGAGGGCGAGGAGGAGAGGGCTTTTGGTGCAGGCCTTGCAGGGGTGAGGGAGGAAGGGCTGGGGAATGAGCCTGGCAGCGTCTCTGGGCCTTGTGACAGGGGGTGACAGGGAAGGCAGGCTAAGGATGGGAACTGAGTTCTGCAGCAGGTGTGGGATTCTGGTCCCCAAATTTTTCTCAGTGTCCCAGGCCAAGCAGAGTCTTTGGGGTCCACCCTGAACCCCTTCACTGTTTAGTTAAGACAGATTTAGAGTCAGCCAGCAGGTCAAGTAGTCAGTCCACCAATGTGGGTCACTGTGTGGACTCTGTTTTGGATGCCTGGGGCATAGTAGGAACAAACAGAGTGGCTTCTGTCCTCTGGGCTCACATCTACCAGAGAGAGAGAGAGAGAGAGAGAGAGAGAGAGAGAGAGAGAGAGCACGCTAGAAAGTGATGAACTAATGTTAGGCCACCATGCTTTGTGTGCTTCATCAGGAGACACTGAATAAGCAAAGAGGCCAGCAGGCCACCACAGAAGTTTCTTTCCCCCTGAGAATTTAATCACACACACACACACACACACACACACACACACGTCTTCCTATTCAACTCCCATGCATGTGGCTTTGTGCACCATTTGGGGTGCTGTGAATGATGGAAGGGGCTGCCGACTGGTTCTACCATGTTGAATGGCCTGATTGCAAAAGGTCACTGTTCCACCTTGGACTGGCTCAAGGTCACAGACACTGGACGAGAAGCCAGGATTTGAACGTGGCTCTGTCTCTTCCCTTGCAATGGTATTTTGGGAACCCAGCTCCTTCGATTCCTCCTTTACCAGCTGCCACCTCTCCCAACTTCTCCCATCTACATTCTCCCAGCTACACAATGGCATCCACTCAGGAAGCATTTAGTAATGGAAAGGAACTGTGTCTCCAGCTCCGTGCACAGAAAGGGCCGGCAGGACCATAGCTATGACAATCATGGGGACCATGGAGCTTAGTAAACACCTACCCCCCAAGTGTACTGGGTGTTGTTTGACTCCCTGGTTGGTAATGCCTGGCTGTGGGTGCAATGCGGGCTCAGAGGAGATCTAGGGGAGCCCCAGGCAGAGAGAGGTGAAAGGTCATTTCCAAATCTCTAAGGAAACAACTGGCTACGTATGTGGAGCTGAGGCTAGCAGGTACTGCTGCCCTCTTGGTATTTTCAGTGGTGCTGGGGTTGTGCCAGGGCCTCATGCCATGCATGCTGTTCCCAAGCTGTCCCCCAACCCTTGCCTGCTCCTTTTATTTATTTTATTTTAACTTATTTGTTTTTAATCGGTCTTTTGTGGTGCTTGAACTCTGTGCGCTGTCCCTGAGCTTTTGTACTCAAGGTTAGCTCTCTACCACTTTCAGCCACAGCTCCACCTCCAGTTTTCTGGTGGTTTATTGGAGATAAGAATCTCACGGGCTTTCCTGCCCAGGCTGGCTTTGAACCACAACCCTCAGATCTTAGCCTCCTGAGTAGCTAGGATTACAGACATGAGCCGCCAGTGCCCCGCTGCACGCTCCTTTTAAAGGGGTGGTGTGGGTATTAGCAAATGGCTGGAGAGTGATGAAGTCCCAATGCGATTACCAGAAGGACTGAGAGATGGTAGGAAGGGAGATTGCTTGCTTACCGCAGCGTATGATGCCATAGCCAGCGAAGGTTCTAGAAAACCCTGTTCCCTGCTATCCAGGGTGACACAAGCAGTGCTCTGGGGTTGTCCTGAGCATAGAAGCCAGGGTGGAGGCCTCTTACCGTGGGTGCAGCTGTGTCCACCACCAGAGCCTCCAGATCCACGTGCAGCTCGCTCTGTAGCCTCCTGAGCCTGTGGAGTCCGTGTCCTCCTGGGGCTGTGAACTCCTGCTCTTTGCTCGCCCTGACCTGGGGACCAGGATGGGGCCCAGGGGAAGCACAGGGCACCTCCTTGGGGTTGGGTTTGGTTCTGTGCTAACATTTACTCACCTGGCCACCAGGTCATCCAGGAGGAAATGCGGAATCCAGCAAGGACACGGCTGGCAGGTAGGGGCCTCCCAGCAGCTCCCTCATGACTTTTTTTCTAGAAACTTCATTGATTCAGCACCCTGTTGCCTCCCCAGTACCTCCCCGCTGTACCAGCTTCGTCCCTGTCTGTCCGCCGTCTACCTTCCTGCTCTCATGCATTTTCAAGGGCATTGCAGGCCCCTGGGCCTGTTTCCTCGGGACCCCAGCATCCACACCAGTGCTAGAGTTCAGTATTTGTTTTCAGCTCAGCTGTGCATTTGGAGGAAGACAAGGAACAATTTTCCTTGCATGTCCAACACCCAGGTGTTGGACACAGGCATACTTTCACACTGTCCAAGTTCAACTCCAAGGAAACCAAAGTCATGTACCTACAGAGGTAACACCCCACCTGGACTCCTAAGACAACTTTCGGGGACGGGGAAGTCTAAGGGGTGAAAAAGGAAGATGTCCTCTGCTTCAGTCCTGATCAGCAAACCCATCATGGGACAACCTGGGGACATAAAGAAGCAGAAACCCAGAAAGCATGGGCGGGGGGAGGGATGGCACTACTTTGGATGAGCTTGGTGACACTGCCTGCCAGAGAGGACACTGATCCTTGACAGAGAACCTTGTGGAGACATTGAAGAAATCCAGGTCCTTCCCAGCTAATCTCCCTTGCCCTGGCCCCCTTCAGAGAATGGCTTCCAGTTACTTTCTCCAGAGCCATAGGGATCAGGAGACATGCTTTGTTAGATGGTGGCACTGGTCCCTCAAGGCCATCTCCTGCCTGAGCCTGGATTTTTTCTCTAGGCACAATGTGTTTGGAATGATCATGCATTTGTACAGGCACAGGGTCCTTTGCACAAATGTACCTAGTGCTCATTTGCTTTCTTTCCTGTGCAAGATCTCTCTCTCTTTTTTTTTGTCAGTCATGGGACTTGAGCTCAGAGCCTGGGTGCTTTTCTAGAGCTCTTTTGCTCAAGGTGAGCGCTCTACCATTTTAGCCACAGCACCACTTCCAGTTTTCTGATGGTTAATTGGAGGTAAGAGTCTCATGGGCTTTCCTGCCCAGGCTAGCTTTGAACTGAGATTTTCAGATCTCAGCCTCCTGAGTAGCTAGGATTATAGTCATGAACCATCAGTATCTGGCCTACAGGTTTTTTTTTGTTAGTCGTGGGGCTTGAACTCTGGGCCTGGGTGCTGTTCCTGAGCTCTTCAGCTCAAGGCTAGCACTCTACCACTTGAGCCACAGGGCCACTTCTGGTTTTCTGGTGTTTAATTGGAGATAAGGGTCTCGCAAACTTTCCTGCCTGGTCTGGCTTTGAATCACGATCCTCAGATCTCTGCCGCCTGAGTAGAAGTTTGTTTTTTAAAATATATGTTTGTCTCCCTTTGGGTAAAACTACTGGTTGGTTTTGGAAGAAATTTCCAGAAAGTTTTGCAAACACATTGCACTGTGTGGAAGAAGCCAGGAGCAGCCAGGAAATGGCTGTGGGTGGGTCAATGCCACTTGCCCACTACTCATGTCTCCAGCTCCCAATGAGTCTCAAGGAGAAGACAAGAAGCTCCTCCTGTCGGTATACTGTCATGAAAAGCCAAAAAGCACCCTGGGATTGCTGTAATTTGAGTTTAGCGAGGTCCTTACTCTGACCCCAGAGAAAGTGTCTCTTCTCTGGGAAGAGAGGTGCTGGGGCTGAAAGTTGGAAAATTCTTCACATAGGGTCCTGGGAATGGGACCACTGCTGCTTGATCTCTAAACCATTGCATCTACAGACCAGTCCTCTGAAGTGGCAAATGGCTCAAGACCCAGCCCAGGCCCATGGCAGGCAGCCTTCCAGTTGACCTCAGGTTTCTGACTGCCTCAGAGCCACACTCTTCTTTCCAGCTGCCTCTCACACTGTACCAGAGTTGGTTTGTGTGATGAGATATTTTGGTTATAAACTACCCTTTGGTGTTACGCTCCTGCTGTCTTAGATGTTGTCTTTAGGGGAAGCCAGATATGATATGCTGGGACAACAGCCCTATGGAGGCCCTCACTGTGAGGATCCTGGGCTTCTGTGTTGGGAGCCGACAGTAACGCTCTAAGGTCATCTTGACCCCGGTGCTCACTTGAAGGCACGTACAAGGAACTGGCTTTCATGAAAAGCACCAGCTGCCCGGATTGCTTTGCTATGTCTGCAAAGTTTGTTTTACTTTCTACCAGTTGACCTTGTCTTGTTTTTACTGCATTTTGTTTTTTATTAAAATTTTCCTTGTTTTTCTGCACTATGGTAACCTTAGGTTACCTCTTGACTTCTAATAGTATATAATAGGGAAAGTTAAAAATAAACGGGGCTGCAGTCTTGAGCTGCAGATCTCCCGACCCCATCCTTAGTCTTATGTCTTTATTTTTCCGCATCCTCACCCCCTAATTCAGGATTCCCTTCCGCTGCCGGCAGGCTCCGGCACTTTTGCCTCACAGCATTGAGGAAAGAGGACCACTAAGTTGTGTGAGTGAACATGGTGGCAGACCCACCAGCTGGGCCTTCAGTTGATAACTTGACCACCATCCTATGAGAAACTCTGAGTGAGAACCACCTAGACCAACTGCTCGCAAATTTCTACTCCAAAGAAACCTTAAGCTAATCATATATATATATATATATATATATATTTTTTGTTGTTGTTGTTGTTGTTGGAAGTAGGTCTTGAACTCTGGGCCTGGGCGCTGTCCCTCAGCTCTTCAGCTCAAGGCAAGCGCGCTACTGCTTGAGCCACAGCACCACTTCCGGTTTTCTAGTGGTTTATTGGACATAAGAGTCTCATGAACTTTCCTGCCCAGGCTGGCTTTGAACCATGATCCTCAGATCTCAGCCTCCTTAGTAGCTAGGATTACAGGTGTGAGCCACTAGCACCCAGCATTAACAGATATATTTTGTTGTGCTCGTCTTGGTGCTTGAACTTAGGGCCTGGGTGCCATCCTTCAGGGTTTTTTTTCCCCCCCAAGGCTAGTATTCTACTGATTAAGCCACAGCCTCACTTCTACATTTTTTTTGGTATTTAATTGGAGATGAGTCTCACAGATTTTCCTGCTCAGGCTGGCTTTGAACTGTAACCCTCAGATCTGAGCCTCCTGTGTAGCTACGATTATAGGTGAGAGCGGTGGCTCCCCCAGCATTGCCCTGTATTTTTGTTGATAAGTGTACAACCTTACTTTCAGAACTAAGCAGTTAGTGTGAGATAACTTAACGGACTACATGGGAAAATGATGAGTACACTTAGGACTCCAGGGAAAAATGCTTCTTTCCAAAGTAAAATTTTCAAAAAAGCATCACACTTGGAGCTCAGGAGTCTTCAACTTGGAATAAACAGCCTGACCTCTGGAGGTTGACTGCTGGGTTTTGGATGCTGGGTCCACCACCTAGGAGCTCTTTGATTCCGAGTTTGAATGTCTATGCTGCTGAGATCCATCCCAGTCTTCACAGTTACACCCTCAGGATGGCATCTGGGAAGGACATTTGTACCACATCCTCTAGTGGTCACCCTCTAATGGTTACAGGAAAGCTGTGCACACTAGTGCCAAGAAGGGATGGAGATGTTGGCTTTCAGAAGTTTAGTAGCCACGCTGATCTGACTCCCAAGCTCACTGGCTTCTGGTCATTCATGGATCACCCTTGTGGCTTGTGCCACACACCACTCACCCTTACCCTTATTTACTTACTATTTCTCTGCATTGTCTCCCTGTCTATGATTCAATAGATCTGTGTGTGTGTGTGTGTGTGTGTGTGTGTGTGTGTGTGTGACAGTCCTGGGGCTTGAACTCAAGGCCTGAGCACTGTCTCTGAGCTATTTTGCCTAAGCCTAGTGCTCTTCTGTAGCTACCGTGCCACTTCTGCCTTTTTACTAATTAATTGGAAATACATAGACTGCTGCTGGCTTTGAACTTAGATCCTCGGATCTCAGCCTCCTGAGTCACTAGGATACAGGCATGAGCTACCAGTGTCCAGCTTATTTCTATCTTTCTTTGCTTGGAGGACTGAAGTAAGCAAATGAACTTGAGCTTCCTTCAGGGCCTCTCAGGTGTATTAAAGCCACAACTCAGGATGTCCTTCCTGCTAGGATCCACTCATTCTCTCACCTTCCTGGTTACCCCTCTCTCCCTAGTGTGGATGGGGCCTCACCTGCTCCCTACCCACACCTTCCAGACCACTTCCAGCACAGCCCTCATATCAACAGCTTCCTTTCTCCATGACAACCCCGTACGTTGCTACCTGTGCCCTAACCTCCTCATGCATCCTTCCTAAGGAGAGCTGGACATTCACCTGAAATCCCTACACACCTGAACATTTCCTCCCTTAACTGCTCAAGCCCTCAAAGATCAACGATAGACCATACAGGCTCTGGTATGGTAGCAGTGACCACGCTGCAGGGCTCTTTCTAGACCTGGAACCCTCAAGGGAGTGTGAAGAACAGCAAGACCCCCTGTGCAGAGGAAGAGTAATTTTATTTAGTGAGAATCACATGATGCTGGGTGTCTGGGGAGCGGGAGGGAGTAGGGAGCAGGTTCCTGGGGAGAAGGAGGCTTGACAGGTTCTGCATGTGGGCCAGCCTTCTGTGAACCCTGGGAGGCAAGGAACAATTCTGTTGGGAGAAGAACCCAGTCAGAAAGTTGAATCAAGGTCAACTCAAGGTCACTGGCTCTTACCAGAACTGGCCCAGAATCCAACCTTTCTTCTAAGGGCCAGGAGGAGGCTGAGACCCTGGGTCTGGTCATCTGATATCAGCCATCAGGCCAGCCCAGGCCTGGGGCCAGGGAGCTCCACGTGCTTGTGTCCTAGTGTGTATCTGTGTCTCCTTGTGGACTTGTAGAGGGCAAGTCCACATAGGTGTATGCATGTGTGTGAGTGTGCATTCAGGTGTGTCTGGTGTATGTGTGTATGCGTGTATATGGTATTGTTTGTGTATGTGTACGTGTATATGGTGTGTGTGTGTGTCTTTGACCCATGTATTTCCTTTGTTGCCATGGTACCTGCGTCTCTCCACCTCAGTCAACTACTCTATGGCCGTGTCTGCATCCCTGTGTGTCTACCTGGATGTTTTGTCTTTTTTTTTTTTTTGGCTACAGTCTAGATAGTAAATGAGTTACTTGCTCAGTCTACAGGTTGGTGCTATTGGGAGATGGTATGAGCTTTGGGTGGTGTGAGCTTTGAGAGGCAGGAGCTCTGGGGAAGTGGGAGTTTTGGGAAGTGGGAGCCCTGGGAAGGTGGGAGCCCTGGGGGGGGTGGAAGGGCTGGCAGGGGTGGGAGTGCTGGGGGGGCAGGAGTGCTGGGGGGGGCGGGAGTGCTGGGAGGCGGGAGGCCTTTAGGTCATTGGGCTCTGCCTTTCTAGGGAAATCATGGGACCTGGCCCCTTCCACTTTCTGTCTTGCTCCATGGAGAATGAGGTGAGCAGCTTTGCCCTCACCCCTACCTTGCTTCCACATACTAATACCATAATGTGCTACCTCCCCACAGCCCTAAAGTAGTGGGGTCATGGACTGGGGTCCCCCAAAATGGGAACTAAATAACCCTTTTGCTTTTATCTCCACTATCTCATTATAGGGATGGAAAGCTGACTAACACAGATGTCATTTCCCAAGGAAGCCAGCCAGTTCTGAGTCGTGGGATGAGGGAGTGGCACTCACCAGCTCAGCAGAAGCCTGATCCCTTCCCTACACCTTGATAACAAATTCTTGTTGACCAAGCAGCGCTTCTGGGAAATGAAAGGCCAGAGTAGAGTTATGATCTGGAGGTGAAAGGGTCTAGGGAAAGCCCCCGTTCCTCCTCCCCTACTGGCAGCTTGGGAGCCCAGCCACCTCAGGCAGTCATGGGCTAGACCTCCCCCGCCCAGTGTGAGGGCTGAGGGCAAGGTAGGCTCTTTACCTCAAAGTTATCTGGCTAAGTCAAGAAAGCAAAGAAACCCCAAATGGGACCAAGTTGGAGGTCAGCCCTAGTTTTCCTATGGTGTGCAAGAATAAGAATCTTGGGTGGGGGTGGGGGAAGAAATCTTTGTTTCTCTGGTGGTGGAGAGGACTTGGAAGCAGGCCTTACCAGCGATGTCATGCACAAGGGTGACATCCAAGTGGCTGAGAACCTCGTTGACCAGAGGGCACACCTGACACAGGGCAGAAAGGGCAGTTAGGCAAATGGGTACCTGCCAGGAGGCTGGGAACAACAGGCCCAGGAAGGGTTCTCTGGGGGAGATTTCCTCTCATTGTTCTGTGCCTGATGATGGCTCTAAGCCATCACAAGGGCAAATGGTCACACAACTATATTAGGCAGAAGGAGACACTGAAGACATGAAGGGTTTGGTGAAGAGACCCAAGTCATCCTGCCATACCCTTGGCTCTAGTGTGGACAGACCCAGGGCCTGGCCCACAGACAAAGCCAACCAGTGCATTTAGCGTGACAGAAAGAAAGAACATGGACAGATGGATCCAAGGACAGACAGACTGATGGACTGAGTTTACTACTCAAATGAGGGGGCTCAGACTTGCTTTCAGATGTTATAGGGTTGATGGGTCAGGGGACGGCCACATTTGCTCTCTTACCTTTTCCTGCACCAGCTCAGGAATGACTTCATTCAAGACCCCTGTGAGGGCATCCAGAAGGCCTTGAAGTGGGAGGGGAGCAACCCTAGAGGAGAAAAGCCACAAGGGTGATGTGGATGCCTAGAATTGAGCTAGATAAGTCTTCAGGGACCACTTATCACCCTTAGTCTCAGCACTTAGTAACCCAAACTGGGCCTATCTACCTCTATATGGGCAGGTGAACAGCAGGAATCCTCAGGGTACACACAATCAGTTCTGAGACACAGCAGGTGTCCCACAAGACTGTGTTAACCCATCAACAGTATATCCTAGTTGCCACAAGGATTCAGTGACATGATACACATGAAGTTCAGTCAACATTAGCCAAGGTATAGGCAACTTCTATGTGTGATGTGTGTCTTGGTCTCCTCAGGGGACAAGTAACTGAAAAAAGCAACCCAGCTAGGCTCTGTCTGGAGCATACTCTTCACTGGACAAAGCACATTCATGACTATTACCTGGATGTTTTAGTCACCCAACATATTATACATTACAGACAAAAATGCCGAGACCCAAATTAGAGAAATAATATTCAAGTTCACCATCTCTCCCCATCCCTGCTAGATTAGGTGGGCTCAAAATCAGATTTCTCATTGTTTATCCAACATAAAATTGGTCATCCTGGCCTAATACAAAGCATAAGTGAATATTTACTCACTTATTTACTTACCCATCTGTCCATACATCTATCTATCCATGTTCTTTCCACCCATATGACCATTCATATCATCCATCCATCCAGCCATCCATCCATCCACATATTCATCCATTATCGATCTGTCCACCATCCTACCCTGTTATCTCTGCATGTGAGGGGCCAGTCTCTAGCCTTACCCATTTTGCAGGGTGATATGCAAGCTGCCAGGTGAGTGGGTGCAATCACCAAGGACCAGGTGGACTTTCCCCTGATTGTCTCTCACGGCTAGGATTTCTACAGTGATGTTCAGCTTCACATCCAGCTCCAACACACTGCCAACTGTGAGTCTGCAGAGGAGACAACCTAACTGGCATCTGGCTTTACCACATTCCAAGGCAGAAGAATTTTTCTCCTTGCCAAGAATGCCAGCCTTACCTTCTTCCATTTTATGAGCCATTCTACTCGTCTCCATCTCCAGCAGGGGAAACCAAGGCTCAGGGAAGTCAAAGGACCTTCCTATGTGACCCCCCCACCCTTCCCCCAGCTTGGTCAGCATAAAGCAAATGATCTAAGGTTGGAAGCCTGGTCTGTTGCACTCCAACACTTCCTGCTTGGCTGCCCCTGGCATCAAGGTCTCCCTTGTAGAGCCATCTGTTCATCTTCCCTTGGGAGGTACTCACGTATTCACTTGGAGCCTCAAGCCCAAAGGGATGGTGACATAGAGACGGTGGCCTTTAGGGCTCTTCACATAGCCAAGTTCCAGCAGTTGGGGATCCGTGATTTCAATGCTGTTCAGAGGACAACATCAGAGGGAGAAGCATTAGCTTCTTGAGCCTCAAACCCAGAAACCACTTTTAATCCAAATTGATCAATTTCAGAGGTCACCTGGCATGAAGAAGGAAAAAAGAAAGTCTTGTACCAGAGCCATCTGGGTTTTGAGCCACACATGTGGGTGCCTGGATGAGATCTTGAAGGTCTAGAAGAGACTGTGTCTGGGTTGTGTGCGTGCCCGGTAAAAGACTTACAAAGAGAGTGGTTGGCTTGAGGGTTGCTGGGAAGGTGGGTCTGTGTGTGTGTGTGTGTGTGTGTGTGTGTTTGTGTGTGTGTGTGTGTGTGTATGTGTGTGTGTGTGAGAGAGTGGTTGATGGAAGACAGAGTGGAAAGGATCATGAATGGATTGAAGGAATGCATGAAGAGTGAATGAATGATGTATGGGTGACTGTGGGCATGTCCTGCACAGACAATTATGGGTGTAAGTCACTCATTCTGCCATGTCCTTTAATGACATATCAGTCCACAAATCAGTGACACTGGGGCTGAGGAGCAGGATGAATGCAGAAAGGGCAGAGGAAAGCCCTGGTCCTCCCAACGACCTTTCTCTGTAGCGCTGAACTCTATTGTGCAGGAAGAACCAAAGAGACTGGGTGTCTTGTGTCTCTCCTGTATTCCTCCAGGAGGGTACATGTGGAAATCAAACTTGAGTCTGTCTTTCTGTTTCCAGGTCAGGAAGCAAGCCCCTGGGTGGATGGAAATCACAGAAGTGGCTCTGATCCAGCCTTACTGAGGCTGAGGCAGCTCACCGGCACCAAGCTTTCCCTGCTTATTTGTGCTGTCAGGTGTCTCATAGACATCACCCTATCTGGTCTTTCCATGGACATGAGCTACACTGATGATGTAATTTGAGGGCACCTAACATGTTCTTGCTTATACTGAAGCCAGCTGTGTACTAAGGGATTCTCCAAGTGGACAGACAGAATGATCTCAGTGTACTGGAAAAAGGTTTGATCTCTGGACTTCGCCAAGAACCTTTCTTCAGTAACAGTCTAGTTGCGTGAGGACAAGGCCCATGCCTGTGCCTCGGTTTATTCGTCTGTGAATTGGGGATTATGAAGTTGACCTTGAAAGTTGTATATGAGGATTATAAGAGCTGCTGGGCAGGACGTGGGGGGAAAGAGGTGATTACTAATACAAGAGGACTGGCATTCCTTCCCAGACTGGGGAAGGTCTCAGGACAGGGTTCTAACTCCATGCTCAGGTTACACCCCTCCCTCTATGTGTCTGCTGTCTGGGGCAGGTGGGGCTTATAGCTGGTGAGGACCAAGGCCCTGTTTCAGGCAAACTTACTCAATGATGCTATTCAGTAGAGGGATGGATGAGGTCAGTTTTCCAAGCAGGCCCCCCAGCAGGCCCCCAGAATTGCCATCTCCAGACTTCAGGGTGTCTAGAAGTGGGAGGTTTCCCAGAATGTCCAGCAGACCCCCGGAGAGCAAGCCATTGCTGAGACCTAAGAATGAGTAGAAAGGTCCCTGTGTCCACATCTGACCATTCCAGATCCTCTCTCCCCTTCATCCTTGCCCCTCCTCTTCCTGGGTGGCTCTACACACAGAGAGGCGCGCATGCGCATGTGGAACACACATGCTCACACACATGTGAGAGAGGTTGTCACGGACTTACCACTCTTGAAGTTTGCAACCAGGTTTGTGGGATTTGATGGCAGGGCTGGAGCCCCAGGCAAGGGCAGGCCCTGGCCTATGGGTAAGGGCAGGCCTTGAAGCTGGGCTGAGGTCTGGGCCAGCAGCCCACAGAAGATGGTGAGGCTCCCAATTTGAAACATTCTCCCTCCTGGCATCTGTGGACAGAAGTATCAGAGGAATCTATCCATTGCCTGCCCCTATCTTCTATGAGTGTTCCTCCTCAGAACACCGGGGAGAGACTAATAATCAGAGCTAACACTCCTGGACCTTGCTCTGTGCTAGGCAATAGGCTGATGGCTTTCTCCTCAGTGAGTGATTTGATCTTCACCACATCCCAAGAGGTGGGCACTGCCTACTTGCCCTGCACAGGAGGTGATGGTGAGGGGCACGAGGACCTAGTGACTTGGAGGTACCTTTCCCTAGTTCATAAGCACACAGGTGGTGAGGAAATTTGGAAGCACACCTGTCTGACCTAGAGAACTCTGGGTAATTGAGTGACTATCAGCTCTTCTCTCTGGGTGGAGACAAATTGCTTCTCCTTCTTGCTCCCTCTTCAAAGTGGATAGAGAAGCTTAAACAAGCCAGTGGTGGAAGTCTTGCACTGCTCTGCCACTATCCCTGCCCCAGGGCTGGTTCTTCAGGCCCAGCTGGCTTGTGGATGCCCTCCTGAGTCCCACTGAATCAGAGGAGACAGGGTGACAGCCGTCATCACAATTCAGGATGGCAACTCACTATACAAATTCCTTGGAGACCCTGAACTTGAGGCAGGACTAGCACTGGTTTCTGGGTTGGTGGTGTAAATGTCTGAAGGAAGTTGAGGGAGTGGCCATCCCCTTGCTCCTGACTGTAACTAGTCTTTGTTTGACCAGTACATTGGTTAAAGTCTGCCCAGGGCCAGGAGCTGCCGAGCTGTGGAGGGGGCGGGTCTCACCTGGTTTCTCAAGGTGTTCAAGGCTGGCCTGCTCCCTCTGCTCTGCTCTCCTCCTTGCTTCTTCCCAAGGTGTGAGCTCTTTTATAGCATGAGGATCAGGAAACATGAGATGGGGCGATGGGTTTTTAGATAATTCAGAAATTTGCGATTTGGTGGTGTCTTTCAGGCCTCTCCAAAGTAAATAATTGCCAATCATATTAGCAGGTGAGTCAGTTAAGCGATTTGGTCCCCAAGTTAAACAGAGAAAAAAACTTGAGATGGGATGTTACTCAAGACTTCATGGTTTCCCATAGAAGGCTGGGGTTGGGGATCCACGCTCAGGTGATCCGGTATGGTGATTGGATGGGCAGGCAAGGGGGAACCCAGTAAGGGACATGTCTTATTTCTTTTTTGTTGTTGTTGTTGGTCATGGGGCTTGAACTCTGGGCCTGGGCTTGGTCCCTCAGCTCTTCAGCTAAAGGCTAGTGTTCTACCATTTGAGCCACAGTACCACTTCCAGTTTTCTGGTGGTTAATTGGAGATAAGAGTCTCATGGACTTTCCTGCCCGGGCTGGCTTTGAACCATGATCTTCGGATCTTAGCCTCCTGAGTAGCTAAGATAACAGGCATGAGCCACTGGCGCCCGGCCTATCTTATTTCTTGGCTTTGGTTTTTCCTGGTCCAAGTCTTTCTCTCCAGCTGGAGAGCTCTTGTTTTCACAGTGTTGAGTCAAACTGCAAGAGATGCCCGCAGTTCTGGGGTGTTCAGTTCCAAGGTAGGGGTCTTCCATTGCCCCTTGACGTGACAATCATGGGAGTACACACCTCACAAGGATGCCAGCAGGGGAGCACTCTCCTTACAGGGGTCACTGAGGCCCAGTGAGGACAAGGGACCCAGAGAGGGAGCGAGAAAAGAATGGCAACAACCCAGCACTTGCCAGGCTCTTGCCATACCCTGGATTCTCACAGCCCTGTAAGGCAGGAAGTGAATTTTTACATGGGGATGGCGGGCTCTGAGTATGAGGTGGCACACCCAGAGTTGGACAGTGGCACGGGGCAGGACACTCACTCAGGACACTCGGTCTTTTCTCTTAGTCGCTGGGCTGAGAGATGGAGGTGCCTTCCCCACCTTTGCTCGCCATTTATGATTTCCTGCATCCAGAAGTTCATGCTCTCATGCTTCCCACTTCAGGTTCTGAAACAGTCTCTCGAGTTTTGCAGGCCTGAGGGATCCTGAGGCCTCTTGGTTCTCTCCTCCTACTTTTTCTTCCCCCAGATGAAGTCGTGAGGCTTGGGCCCCACGTGAGCCTTTGGATATTATCTTATAGATGAGAAAACGAAGCGCAAAGAGATCAAGGTCTTTCTACATCTTACAAGCAAAATAAGAGAGAGAGGATGCATGTATACTTACAATGTACTCGGTGCTGTTCCTGGGAGAACAAACCTTCATCAAGAGTGAATGGGGGAAGGTGGCTCAGTGGTAGAGCGCTTGCCTTGCATGCATGAGGCCTTGGCTTCGATTCCTCAGCACCACATAAGCAGAAAAAGCAGAAGTGGCGCTGTGGCTCAAGTGGTAGAGTGCTAGCCTTGAGCTGAAGAGCTCAGAGACAGTGCCCAGGCCCAGAGTTCAGGCCCCACAAACAACAAAAAAAAGTGAATGGGATTTTTGCTTCTATATCGTGATCAGAGAGAGTGACTTCTTCCCAGGGACACACAGCGAGTGAGTCAATTCAGTCTCTACCCCCATGTCTGTCTGACGCCCTAAGGATCAGTGTTCTGCTTATGCCAGGCCTTCACCGGGCCGGCTCCAAGGCCTGTGAGCCCAGCTAGTGCCTCCAGGGAGCCAGGGCTGAGGATGCCTTCTCAACATTCCACTCACAGCCCTGGCTGGACTCCTCCCACGCTTCTGTCAGTCATCCTCAAAGTCATCCCACATTGTATCATCTTCCAACAACTCTGATGATTGGGGTAAGTTGCTACTATCCACATGAGGAAACTGAGGCAGGTAAGGCAAGGAACTGGGCTGAACCTGTGTGGCCAGGCAACAGAAAGCTCCCACTGTCTGACTAGAAGTCAGAAGGCTGCATGTGTGCACTGGCAGGAAACAGGAATCAGGCACTAGTTCAAATCCTGTGGTCCTCTGCTCATTGCTGCAGATCCTGAGGCTCAGAGGTCCTATCTGTCAAGGATATGGGGTCAGGGTCATGCTGGAGGAGCTGCAACAAAGCTTCCTTCAAAGACTCAGGTGCTGCTGGATGCTGGTGGCTCATGCATGCAATCCTAGCTATGGTTCAAAGCCAGCTGGGGCAGGAAAGTCCATGAGACTCTTATCTTCAATGAACCTCCAGAAAACTGGAAGTGGTGCTGTGGCTCAAAATGGTAGAGCACTTGCCTCAAGCGAAAGAGCTCAGGGACAGCGCCCAGGTCCTGAGTTCAAACCCTATGACCAGCAAAAAACAAGACAAAGCAACAACAACAACAACAAAAAAAAACATGTTCTTAAACCAACTTTATTTCAGGCAAGCTTTCCTTGCTTTGGAGATTGAACTTTAGAGTAAATATAAAATAATACTAGTAATAATAATCATCTTTTCTGAGATACTAGTGCTTTGTACTGTCTGCACTAATCTTTTGGAGAAATTGAGGCTCAGTGAGTTCAGTGACCTGCCTGGGGTCCTCTCAGCGGGGAAGGGGTAAAGTCATTTCCCCATTTGGGACAGTCCAGCTTCAGTGGTCCATTGGCATGTTTGCAGTCAGTCTTCAGTTCAGAAAACTTTACCTGCTGTTGCTCTCTGGAACCTGCCTGCTGGCCACGAGGTCAGCCAGATGCCTCTGAGTTCCAAAACTGTGGATCCCATTGCCAGCTGTGTAACTCTGGGAAAGTTCCTCCCCTTCTCCTTCCTCTTCCTCTTTTTCTTTCTTCCTGCTCTTGTTTCTTTCTTTCTTTCTTTTTTCTTCCTCTCTCTCTTTCTCTTTCTTTCTTTCTTTCTATACCACACTGAACATGAGATGTACCCCATTAGCAGATTTTTGGTGCACAGTGTAACCAGCACTGACTCTCTAGAATTTGCACAATGTTCCCCTTGGTGGACCTGTCTTCCTTCAGCCCAGCAGTGACTACCACTGCCTGGAGGACTGTGTATGTTGGGGTGGGGGAGGGCAGGAGTTAGATTTGAAGCCACTAATGAAACCCCAGCTCCATACCGGGCTGAGCATGGTTCCCTGTAACAGCAGGGTGTGGAAGGTACAAGACACAGGGCTTGGACAAAGATCCTGAACATTTGGGGCTGAATTTCTGCTCAGACCACCCCAACCTCACAAGGGGTCCATTGTTGGCAAAACACTTCCAGGAGAAAGTGCGATGGATCTGTGGTCCTGTGAGCCTTTACATGAAAACAAAATTGGAGGAACCCGAGGAGGTGCCTCCAGGATGCCGGGGGGGCCCAGGCCCAGGAGTGTTAGAGAGGGGGGCGCCGAGGGAACGCAGACAAAAGCTGCCTTCCTTCAGCAGGGACCAGGCCCACCCCACTGGCCCAGCCCTCCCATGTTTGTTCTTTGACTCACGAGCAGGAAGGAGGCTGCAGCCCGGCCAGAGCTGTCCTGTGGCATGGCGGGGGAGGCCGGCGGGCGTTTAGGGTTGCAGATCCTCTGTGAGGCATTTCGGATTAGGGAGTTTGAATGGACAGATGGAGCTGCTGGCCCTGCTCTCACCTCTGAGCAGTTGACACTCCCTTCTTTGAGCATGCCACCCAGCTGAGCTTGGGTTTCATAGTCTCCCCTGGGTGGCCTGGGGGAGGTAATATGGGAGTACTGAAGAGTGTGCATTTTATGCTGCCCTGGCTATGTGACCTGAGACAGGGGACTCTCTCTGTGCCTCTACATTCTCAGGGGACTAAACGACCTCCATGAGGAACAGAGCTGTTACAAAGGTATTTGAGGGTTACGCACGATGCTGATGTAAACTCTGAGCCCTAAGCTCAGCATCTACCAAGCATTTAATATAGATGTGCTGCTATTATTGACATGGCTGTGGGATTTCTCAATTCTTGATGGAGGAGACAGCAATCAAGAGTTACATTCAGATGGCCAAGAACTATCTCATTAAGTGACTCAAAGGATATTTCCTAAATACTTGCTGCTTACAAAGTACAGGCCAAACATCTTGTAAATGGTTTCTTGGCATGTACCCCATATAGTTGGTTACATTTCCTTTTCCAGTATAGGGGTTTGAACTCAGGGCCAGAAAAATGCATAAACATGAGTAGTTATGAGTTTTTGCAAACTGAACACCTTCCCCCCCCAAAGTAAAAAACAAAACCAAACCAAAAATCCAGACTCTAGGCTCAGATGTGATGGTGCACACCTACAGTCCCAGCTAATCAGGAGGCATTGGTAGGAAGATCTCAGTCTGAGGTTAGCTCAGGTAAAAGGGTGATGTTTTATCTGAAACATAACAAAAATAAAAGGGGTCCATGGTATGGCTTAAGCGGTAGAGTGCTTGCCTAGCAAATGTGAGGCCCTGAGTTCAAACCTCAATATTGGAAAAGAAAAAGTGACCAGCTCTTTAGAAACAACCCCTTCCTAGTGGCAAAACCCCATCCTGAGCTCACCAACATCCTGACCTGTAATGGCATACACCAGTTTTGCTTGTTTGAACTTGACATTGCTGGTAGAGGAACATGGGATCTGTATGCTTGACTTCTTCTACATAACTTTACATTTTGGGGATGTATCCTTGTGGCCAGATGAACTTGAAGGTCATTTTAATTACTGTCCTGTATACCAGTGAGTGATGTTCTGTGCAAATCTGTCCATTTGTGTGTGTGTGTGTGTGTGTGTGTG